CGAGTGTTTCTATTGCCCTTTTTGGTTTCCTAGGGCGCCTTCCAGGACCCAGTTCGATTCGATCGATCCGGTTCGACCCTGTTCAAATCGAATCTGCAACTCTGTCGATCCAGCTCATCTTGCCGATCCGACTCTTTCCGATCCAGCTTCATGGTGAGGAGAAGCCTTCCTCCCTCCTCCTCCGCCCTCCCTTCCATACCTTCGGTCGTCCGTCCGTCATCATCATCATCATCATCATCATCATCATCATCATCATCATCATCATCATCATCATCATCATCATCATCATCATCATCGTCGTAGTCGTCGTCGTCGTCGTTGTCGTCGTCGTCGTCGTCGTCGTCGTCGTCGTCAACGTCGTCTTCTTCGTCGTCGTCAGGAGTTGGAGGAAGAAAAGGAGGAGGGCGACGACGGTGGCGGTGGCGGTGACGACGACCCGGCCGCTCCTCTCTGCCGCCGCCGCCGCCGTCGTCGAGGGATGGGTCCGGCGGCGTGGGGCGCCGAGGGACGCAATGCGGTCAAGCCGCGGCTCCGTTGGCGAGCCCAGCATTGACTTCCGACGCAAAATCCTTCAACAAAATAGTGTCGTGCATCAGCCCATCTGGCTTTTGCCTTCATTATGCTGGGCTGCCTGAGTCGTTTCAAGTTTCTCTTTGGCCGTTTTTTGCCGTGACAGATACAGGCGTGTGGCCAGACGAGTTCGGATGCGGGACGCCTCTCACAACAGCGACCGTCTGCTGACGATGGTCATGTTTGAATACATCCGCGCCTGCCCAATCAAAGATTAGCGCTTCATTGGCCCACCTTTTCCTGCCGTCCCGATGGCGCCCGACTCTCCGACAAGCGTGGTCTTCCAAGTCTCCTGTTTCCGCGAGGGGCTGCCAGGGGCTGCCCCGCAGCCTGGCCGCCCCGCGCGCTCCCCGCGGCGCCGCCGCTGATAGTGAAAAAGCGCTTACAGAGCTCCTACTAAGACGCAGTACATGCTGGTGGTGGCGGTGAACTGTCAACAATCTCTTTGCCGCCAGAAACTTTGTAGAGCCCCTTGCATGCGTAAAAGTGCTCGGAATCGAAGCAGAAAACTTCTCAAGTGTCTTTCAAATCTGTGAGGGCGCCCCCCCTCCCTCCCCCTCCCTCCGCGGCCGCCCTCTCGAGGCCCTGCCCCCCTCCTGCAGGCGGGGCAAGATCGCAGCGCCGCAGCCCGGCCTGCTCGCCTGGCCTCGCTCGGACGTGTGCATTTTTGCCTTCGGCGAGGACCCTCGAGGAGCATCCTCGATCATTTGGCGAAATCCACGCACGAGACCGAACAAAAACACAGGGAATGGACGTCCGAGCGATGGCGGGAGGCCGCCCCCCCCCCCTCTCGCGACGCCGCCCCTGCGCGCGCCGCCAGCCTCCTCTCCTGCCGCCCTCCCCCTCCCCCCCCCCCCTTCGCCTGGGACCTCGGGCCCCGAGCCCCCACGATCCTCCCCGATCCTCCTCCTCGATCCTCCTCCCCCTCCCCGATCCTCCTGCTCCTCGGACCTCGAGCCCCCCTTCGCCTCGGACCTCTCGAGCCACGAGCCTCCTCGATCCTCGCCTGCCCTCCCCTCCATGGGCAGGGCGTCGCTCGTCCCTCCTCGGCGACCTCGCGCGCCCGTTTTGCGCGCGCGCTTTTTTCTCGCACATTGCCCGAGTTGCCAAGCAGCGGCTGGCCGGTGGTGCCGCCGGGGCTTCCTCTTCTCTTCCCCGCGTGTTGACCCAGGTGTGAGGTGTTCGATGTTTTTGTGTACTCGAGATTCGAGTTTCCCTACGGATGTTCGCAGGTTTCGGATGCTTTCCAGCCTCAGGCTGCGTTCCAGCAGCTGCGCCTCGCCGAGGTCGTTCACAGGGTGCCCAGGTCGTCCCGAGCGGCGGCCAGAGGCCCGAGGTGTGACTCGACAGCCAGACCTCCTCGCGTCGTGAAGAGATCACGCCCGAAGGTGCTTCCGAGCGTTCGGCTTCTGTGGTCTTTGCCGGGCGAGGAGAAGGGGATGGGGAGTTGGAGGAGGAAGGAGGAGGAGGAGGAGGGGGATGGGGAGCAGGAGGAGAAGGAAGGTGGGGGGGGACTCGTTGGATGTATGAGAGAGACGATGGCCGTTCTAGTGTTGCCAACCATGATAATGTTAGCCAGCGTGGCGTGAGCCCCAAGCAGTGAATGTGTTCAGTGTGAAGGCGGAAGTTATGTTGTGCAAGTTATGTGGTGTAAGCTATGCTGTGTAAGCTATGTGCTGTGAGCCAGGTGGTGTGACCTTATGGCACGTTGGCTATGTGCTGTGTGGTTTAAGGTGGTGCAAGTGATGTGGTGTGATTTATGGGGCTACGATACGCAAGCTATGCGGTGAGAGCTGTGATGCAAGCTCGGTGGTGTAATCTACGTGGTTTGAGCTGTGTGGTGTAAGCTCTGTGGTGCGGCGACGGACGGGGACGGGGCCGCTGGGCTCGCACACGGGCCCAGTTCCATAGAAGTAAAGTAAGAAGCCTTGAGTGCAAATACTGCCTGGTTAACAGCGGTGATGGTGATAATGATGGTGTTGTCGGTGCTGGTGATGGTGAAGATGAAGATGATGATGGCGATGATGAGGATGATGAGGATGATGATCATTATGAGGAGCATGGTGATTTGATCATGAGCATTATGATGCTTGTGATCATGACGGCGAGGAGGACGAGGATATTTTGAGTATGATTCTGCAATGGGCGGAATACTACGGCTTGGTAGGTGCTCGATCACTTCACGAACGCGTATAAGACAATGGCGAGGAGAACAATGATTAATGCATGCCCGACACGATGCCATCCGCTGTGGCGTAATTACACTCCCATTCCACCAGTACCCTCTGGGTATGTGGCGTGGTGTACGCTGTTTGCAATCACCAGCCAGGCAACGCACACACAACGCAAACCACTTTGCTGAAGTACTGCACCAAAGCTGGCCTGCCCTGACTCGCCACACCGCCCAAAATGTAGCCGCGTACAACCAGACTCGATACGCATGGCCAACCATACCCACACGATGTGGCCCACGAGCCCAACTACGTGGTAGAAACATTGACGAAGTGCCCACCTGCACCAGCACTACCACGAAGACGAGCCGAAATGTGTGAACCGCCACGCAGAAAGCCTAGGCCAGAGGCCCGATCCACGTCGCGGCAACGCCTCCAGAATCTGATAAGGCGCCTGGGCACACCAGACCCGACGGCGAGGGGAATGCTTGCCGCCACGGCTCGTACGTACCACGAGCCCGTACACGAAACATGCACTTTGGCCACAGCCCACCAGAGCATCGAATTGCAAAGTGACCAAGCCAGCGGAAAAGTGCCCAGGCCCGCGATGCAACAACAAGAGAAGTGCAGCACGCATGGGTGGAGGAGCCACCCCGCAAATGCTTCGAGCACTACTGTGAAAGGCTGAATTCGACCCGGTGTTGCGCCGCCTTCTACCGCCACACCCCGAAGCCGAAGACGACAACCTCAAGCCGCGGCGGCACACGGGCGAGCACTAAACCCCAGAAGGGGCGCATGAATTGGCTCGATCCCCATGTCAGGGTTGAGCCCCTAGCTTGAGCAATGAGGACGACGAGGAGGAGGCGGAGGAGAAGGGAGGATGGGATGAGGAGCAGCAGGCATGAGGGAACTAATGAATTCCTCATCCTCCGTTCGAGACCGCCCTCTCGCCGTCCTCATCCCCATCTCATATGCTATCCTCGCCTCCTGTCTCTTGGTCATCATCCTTCTCAACCATCCTGACCCCCCCTCATGTTGCTGCTACCCCTCCTTGTGCGCGTCCTTCTCCTCTTCCTCCTCCTCCTCCTCCTTCTCCTCCTCCTCCTCCTCCTCCTCCTCCTCCTCCTCCTCCTCCCCCTTCCCCATTCCTCATCCCTCTCCCCTACCCCGCTTCTCCAACTTCCCCCCCCGCTTCCCCTTCCTCGCCTTCCTCCCCCTCCCCTCGCATTCCCCTCTGCAGTCCCAGCCCCCCCCCCGCCCTCCAAAGAAGCGAGCGGAGAAGGGGCAGCACGGGCAGCCAGCGGGAACTAAACCCTCCTCCTGCGCTGCGTTGTGGCAGTGGGTTCTCCTCCTCCTCCTCCTCCTCCTCCTCCCCCTCCTCCTTCTCCTCCTCCTCCTCCTCCTCTCTGCGGCACCGACTCATGTACCAGGGCTTGCTTCGTCGTTGGCAAGGGCGGCACCTACTCATGTACCAGGGCTTGCTTTGTTGCCGTCAGGGGCAGCACCGAATCATGTACCAGGACTTGCTTCGTCGAAGTCAGGGGCAGCACCGACTCATGTACCAGGGCTTTGTTCCTCGTTGGCAAGGGCGGCACCGACTAATGTACCATGGCTTGCTTCGTCGTCGTCGGGTGCGGCACCGACTTATGCTTCGTCGTTTGCAAAGGCGGCACCAACTCATGTACCAATGCTTGCGTCGTCGTCGTCAGGGGCAGCACCGACTCATGTACCAGTGCTTGCTCCGCCGACGTCAGGGGCAGCACCGATTCATGTACCAGGGCCTGCTTCGTCGTTGGCAAGGGCGGCACCGGCTCATGTACCAGGGCTTGCTTCGTCGTCAGGGGCGGCACCGACTTATGTACCAGGGCTTGCTTCGTCGTTGGCAAAGGCGGCGCCGACTCGGGTACCAGGGCTTGCTTCGTCGTCGCCAGGGGCAGCACCACTCTGACCTTGCCACCAGGCCCGACCACACGGGAGAGTTGATGGCTGACAGATGGCGCACCATACGAATGATTATGAGAGCCGATTGGTGTGACATACCATCGACCGACAGGCCCATGCAACCTGCATGGCAACCGCGAGAACAAGCTAGACGAGTTAGACTACGACAAGCTGAGTGCCGACATAAGGAAATGCAACCACACACCGACTGAAAGCATCAGTAGACCGACCGAACCCATTCAGCTTGCATGGCGATCGACCAACAGCCAGGCTAGTGGCGTGGCTCCCTGACGGGTACTCCACTAGTCCTGGCACAAGGACAAGATGAACGGCACGCCCACCGACTACGTCACTCGGGCCACGTGCAGTCTGAACGTCGGGACCTCCCTTGAGGGCGACGCCGAGGCCTGAGATGGCCAGCGCCCAACGCCAGCAGGCCCGAAGGAGCAGGGACGTCGTCCCCAGGGAAAGTCGTGGAAAGTCCTCCCTCCTTCTCCTTCCTCCTTTTCTCCCTCCTCTCCCTCCTTCCTCCCTTCCGTCCTTCCTTCCTTCCTTTCCCCGCCGTCCTCCTCCGCCAGCCTCCTCCTCCTCCTCCTCCTCCTCCTCCTCCTCCGCCAGCCTCCTCCTCCTCCTCCTCCTCCTCCTCCTCCTCCTCCGCCAGCCTCCTCCTCCTCCTCCTCCGGCCTCCTCCTCCTCCTCCGCCTTCCCCCTCCCCCCCTCCCCCTTCCCACGCGGGGCCACGGCGTTCCCGCCGGCGGCGGCGCTGCGGCGGCACGAAGGCCGCCCGCGCGCCCCCGCCGCCAGTCGCGGCCCCCCAGCGCGCCTGCGTCTTGGGGAGGAGGATCGAAGGAGGAGGCGGAGGAGGAGGAGGAGGAGGAGGAGGAGGAGGAGTTTTGAGCACCACCGCTACGCCGCATGCTTATAGCACATTTAAGGTGTCCTGCAGAAGGGTAAGTCCACGCTCCTTGGGATGGAGGCCTTTGCAGATCAGATTCCAGCCGTGTGTGCTACAGTTATTGTCTTCGCCCGTCGTCTCACACTCTGGCGAACCCGTGCACTGACCACCGAGCTTCGCAAGGCGGGCACCAGAAGTATATCAACTACACTGTGCAAGCGAAAAGGAAGTGACTCTTTAGAACAGTCGAAGTCACACATCTATGCTGGAGATCATGGGGAGCCTGCCCGTGGAGTCTCGGCTCCTTGCTGAAACGGCCAGACGCTGCACTCCCTAAAACGCTGGGAGCCAGCGGGCGGGCCCATTCACAACCACTGGTGGGGTTTGGAGGCTCCACGCGGAACTTTCTCTTGAGGAGAACGCCGCTCTACTCCCGTCAAGTCGGTGCGGGGCCAGAGCGGCAAGACATCAGCGGCCAGGCGCACCACGTACTGTGCGGAGTTGACAGAGCGTCCAATTGCTGTGGACAACTCGTCCGTGGGCAGAGGATGCATATCCGCGCCAAGCTTCGCAGCTCGGTCAGCCGCGTCGTTCCCGACTCGGCAGAAGCGCTCGACCCCGTCGATGCCAGGATCATCGAGGGCCAGGTGCGCACGCACCTTCTCACACCCAGGCATCCGCTGACCTCCGAGAGAACGAGACCCTGCAGCACCAGACCAGAATATGGACGCTTGGGTGAGAGACGCTGCAGGTCGGGCATGCCGTGCTTGCTGTCAACGTTCGCAAAGTCCGGCCGACGCGACGGCTCCGGCCATCGCACAAACCGAGAACTCTCCAGTTTGTTGCGGACAAGTCTCCCAGACAGGACCCCTGGCCCTAGGAAGCAAATGGCCGTGCGGCCCAAGCATGGCCAGTCCCCACCCCACTCGAGAGGATTCTCGCACCACACGGCGCGAGCAGGAGCCGTCGAGAAACACTTGGCCCCACAGCCGCCTCGAGTCCACGGGCGGGACGGCCATGCCTTCGGCTCCAAAGCTGTTAGGGCGGAATCTGAAGCGCACTCCATCGTCTCCATTTCCTTGGTCGGCTATCGGGGGAGGGACCACCTCAGCAGCAGGGTGAGAGAACCCGGAAAGCCAGTTCGAAGGTTGGAGTTCCTCCAGCCTCCTCCATGTTGTTGAAGATGCTGTCCAAGAACGCTTGGGGGACGAGGGCAGCACGCTCTTCAGCAGCGCACGGGCAGACCCAGAGCCTGTGGAACAACGTGTCCCCGGGGGCCTGGCAGAGCGGGCAGACGTTGGCAACGGCGTATCCTGCCTCGCGGGCCCTGGAGGGAGGAGGCGGAGGAGGAGGAAGTGCAGGAGGAGGAGGAGGAGGGGGAAGGACGAGGATCAAGGAGGAAGGATCGAGGATGAAGAGGAGGAGGAGGAGGAGGAGGAGGAGGAGGAGGAGGAGGAACACTTCCGCCCCGCAGCTGAAGTTGCTGTTCTAACGTTGCATTGAAACTAGGAGGAGGATCCGGGATCGAGGTCTTGAGATGTTCGGGGCCCTCCGTTGATCTTTCGGAGGTCTTCGGGCCCAGGGGATTTGTGGGGACCTCGACAGAGACAGGGCGGACAGCCGAGCCCGTCTGAGCCTGAGAGCTAGGCCCAAGTTCGGGATGCCCACAAGAGAGATTTTCACCACGAAGGCGAGGAGGAGGAGGAGCAGGAGGAGGGGGCGCTGTTCCGTCACTGATTGCCTCTACGGCCCCAGAATCCGCAGCTGTTTTTTGTTGTCGTCCCGGATCCGTTTTTTTAACCTTGGGAGCCCAGAAGCCACGATCGCGGAACAACGCCAGGATTAAATTACCCGGGACGTACCCAAACCTTTCTCCACGCGAAGCGGATATTTGCATGAACGCTCCATACACAAGAGCACATCGCCAGATGTGCACGATTTGCGATGCCCTCATCTCCGCCGGCGACAGTCTTTTGCTTGTTTTGTTTTCCTTTCCAGGGTAGCGGCCGTTACCCGGGGGGGGGTCGGGCGGGAGGGCGACGGCGACGGTAACGGCAGCCGCACTTGCTAGGGTCCGTCCGCGTCACCGGCACATCTATCGCCTGTGTGCACCGCACTCCCTGTGTACACGACAATGCCCAACGCCTGTGTGCAACACAGCGCCACCTGTGTACACCACAGTGCCTCCGTACACCACAACAGCCGCGTGCACTGCAGCACCACGTCGCCTATGCACACCGCAGTGCCTGCGTGTACTGCAGCAGCCGTGTGCGCAACAGCGCACGTGTACACCGCATTGTCGGCGTGCGCCAGAACGCCAGCACCGTGAAACTGGATCACCTCAAGATTCCACAGAAAGCACATCTCTGCTATAAGATGTTGACAGAAGTCTCCGTGGAAAGTGAAGCGCCCCTGGATTCTACAGACAACCATCGTTCATAACAGGATTCTTAAAACAAGCCCGATGGAGAATGGAGCGCCTCTGGATTCCACGGAACACCAGTTTGTATCTTGAGCACATTTTTTACTGTCAGTGCATGAAAGAGAACGAGCTGCCACAGGATCCTGCCGACGGGGCCTCCGCCCCGTGTGCAGCGAGCTCAAGACTTGAAAAAGGGCGGAGACGCCCAGAATCAAAAGCACCTGATTAAAAGAGAAGGGAGGAGGAGAGGATGAGGCGGAAGACTTGAGCGACACCAAACGGCGGCGGCCCCCCAAAAGGCATCGGAAAACTAAGAAATCACGACAAAGGGCGGAGACGCCATAATCAAAATCACCAGAGATGCTCCCGATTTTGCTGAGGAATCTGGCCACGCCGAAAATCAAAGAGAGAGAGAGAGAGAGAGAGATAGAGAAACTAACTCACAGCTCTCTGCACGATCTCCGAAGACGCACGGACTTCGGCATTGTGCAAGAGATGGGCGAGCGCAGCAGGAGGAGCAGGAAGGGGCGAAGCAGGAGGAGGAGGAGGAGGACATGGACATGGACGGACAGCAAGGAGCACTGGGGATGGATGACCGACGTGTCGTCGGGGCCCACGGGGCTCGTGCGCCCCGTCATCGTCGCCCCCCCCCCCCCCAAACCCCACCCCACCCCACCCCGGTCCTGGGGTGGGCCTGGAGGTCTTCGCCGCTTCGAGGGGCTCCGTCGGGCCCTCGGCGGCCCCCCCCCCAACCCAACCCCACCCCGCCCCGGTCCTGAGGTGGGCCTGGAGGTCTTCGCCGCCTTGGGGGGCTCCGTGGGGCCCTCGAAAGGGGCCCTGTGAGGCGTGTGGAGGCACCGCCCGGAAGATGAAGAGCTGGTCGGGGGCGGCCTGGCCGACCCCCTGGCAAACCATCCCCCTCCTCCCCCTCCTCATCTCCTCCTCCTCCTCCTCCCTCCTCCCCTCCTCCTCCTTCCTCCTCCTCCTCCTCCTGCTCCTCCTCCTCCTCCTCCTCCTCCTCCTCCTCCTCCTCCTCCTCCTCCTCCTCCTCCCCCTTGCGGCCGGAGGGGAGCTTGAACGGCGAGTATGACTTCCGGAAGGGGATGGTTTGCTCGGGGGTCGGTTGGGCCGCGCCCGAGCTGGTCCCGCGGGACTTGCTGTGGATCGAGCCTCAAGCGAAAAGAGAAAGAGGCTACGCGCTTCGACCCCTTGGGGGTTCTTCGGGCCGAGTTGCCCACGGTGCAGCATCGAACGAGCGTCGTCGACGCTGGCCCCAGCCGTCTGCCGCCCCCCCCCCGCCCCCCACGGCGGCGCAGGTCCTCAGGGCGGGATGCCGCGGCCGCCCAGATGCCACCCGCGGCCACCTCGCGCGCGCGGCCGACGCGCACGACTGGAGGCGCAGCGGGTGTGCTGTGCACCTCGGCGGCGAGGACGACGACGACGACGACCCAGCCCTTCTCGCCTTGCAGCGTGGCAGAATCGCGAAGGAAGGTCTCGGAGAACAAAGTCTACTTGCTTCTAGAAGGCCATTCTCTGGGGCTTATGCCAGATACCGTGCTCGCTTTCTAGCGGCAAGCGTCTGTAAACGCATTGGATGACGCTGCGTCTCTAGACGCATTCGGGTGGGATACGTCTATAGACATTCTGGGTGTCGTTACGTATATAGACACACGTTGGGGGGGATACGTCTATAGACAGCGCGGCCTTTGCGTTCGGCGCAGTTCAGTCAGGCGATCGCAAACATGGATTAAGGGGGCGTGGATCAGCGACCGGTCCCGTTTCCATAGGAAATCGCGGATTTCCGCCGCCGAGCGAGGCGGCACCGGCCGCATTTTGGGGAGGGCACATCCCCCGATCCATGGTTTAAGCGACTGCGCGCCAGATCCATGGATCGCTAATCCATTTTTGTTCGCCCCCGATTCAGGGTCGGAGAGAGGGTAGACCCGTCTAAGGTATTTTCCTGTTCTAGAGCAGGTCCCCTATGGCACATCAAGGAATATCATTCCTCGTGTTCGGTTTCTGGGGGCCCCTCTGCCGGGCCCCGGGGCCGTCCACAAAACCGACTCAGGACGGGGATCTGGTCCAGGGGCAGTGGTCTTCTGGGGGCCCATGTTGCGAAGGAACATCACGGCGTCGGAGGTATGGGACGCAGATCCTTCCAGTCACTGTCCTGACCCGTTTTTTGGTCCGACGCCGCCCAGCCGTGGCCACGGGGGCACCGCAGGGTGCCCCAAGACCCCTTTCGTCCTAGATCTTTGAACCCCCCGCCCACCTCTCCCTGGTCGCGCCCTCGCGCTCCTCCTCCTCCTCCTCCTCCTCCTCCTCCTCCGCCTCCTCCTCCTCCTCCGCTTCTCCTCCTCCTCTTCCTCCTCCTCCTCATCATCCTCATCCTCATGCTCATCCTCATCCTCTTCGTCGTCCTCCTTCTCCTCCTCCTCCTCCGCTTCTCCTCCTCCGCTTCTCCTCCTCCTCCTCCTCCTCCTCATCCCGCCTCCTCCGTCCTCCTTTTCAGCCCAGTTTGCTTCCTCTGTCCCCTGGCACAATCACACCAACGTTCCCCATCCTCATTCACCAAGTGTCTGAGCGCCTAGGGCACTCGCTCACAACACAAAGCACCCTCGCGGCAGGGTGCCACCACGAACCACACGAGGACTCGCCACTTCCGCCACCTGTCCGCGAGGCCACACTTCGTCGCAGGGTGGCGCCACGAGCCACACGGGGACTCGTCACGTTCGCCATCTGCGAACGAATCCTTTCTACAGCGGCGCGACGAACCAGCAGGACCCGAAGACAAGCGGGAAACCAGAACGAGGCGCACACTGCAGAGCAGCACACAAATAATAGAGACAGTCACTGCTGTGGACAGCTTGCTTCATCCGAGGGCGGCGCGATACCTGGTATGCTAATCGCTTTGCTCCGCCCCTGGACTCGGAAGTCCAAACGGTTGCGTCTGCTGATGCACGATTGTCTCGTCTGGCTGTTTGTCAACACTGACTACTCAAGTTCAACATCACGAATCTAATCCAACCGATTTCGTATACGGATGAAAGATCGCCTCGCCTGGCAGGATGTCCATACGTAGTACAGCACCTCGAAATCACGGATACAGCGAGCAGCTTCGTGAGAAACATCGTTGGCGCCGCCACATGCAGCATTGGGCCATGGCGCTCCGACGGCACGCTGCGCCGTCTGCATGGGGTGGTCCACAACGCAGGCGGCGCCGATAGGCACTGAGGAGTAGACCACCGCACCGCACGTACATCGGCGGCCCTCGGAGGCTGGGAACGCCCCGACCCAAACCCAGCGACCCGCCCCAGGAATGAACTCGGCAAACCTCCTGACGCAGAACGTGCCCGCCAGTGCCAGCATCCGAGGCGTTGCCCACTACGCGAGGCTCTGGGGGTATCTCGTCCGAAAGCCTCGCCCTGGCCGCGCGCTCGAGCCTGTTGAGCTCTGCGGGGGAGGCGCCAGCAAAGGCTCCTGCGGGCAAGTCGAAGTTGTGCTCGGCCAGGTGGCGAACCCGCGTCGTGCCCGGTGCGCTTGCGCCCGCGTGCGCCTGCGATGCCGGCTCCCACCACCAGAACGATGAGCTGCCACCATCTGCGACCGAGTTCAACCACCTCGCTGCCGAAGGCCATGGAGTTGGCGTCCTCGTCGAGGGCCCAATCAGGCCACGTGCCTCCACGAGCTGGCCCCCTGACACGCTCAATCTCGGCCTGCAGCCTTGCCGCGATCCGATCCGCCGAGGCGCGAGCCCCCCCTGCCCCTCTGGGAGGCTTCCCGCTGCAACCCCCAACCTCCACTGCAGCCGAACACCCTCCAGTCGTAATCGAGCAGAGACGACGTCCCACAGCTCGCTCGAGCAATAGGAGGTTCGTCATCGCAGACATGTGCATGGGGAATCCATCTTATACATGTGGACCGATCAGATCCACATGTTCCCCTTCCTGTCCAAACATACTGGATATTTAGCCGTGTAGGGGTGTGCCCCATGATGAGGTGCTTCCGTCCAGGACCCGACAGTTTTCCCCGCTGGACGCCCGTCCCAGTCGATCGGTTTGCATGGGCACCCGATCCTCGGGCCGGAACCAAACAATAGGAGGTTCGCCATCGCAGACATGGGGAACTCATCTTATACATGTGAACCACCCAGATCCACATCTTCCCCTTCCTGCCCAAAGATGCCGGAGATCTAGCCGTGCAGGGGCATGCCCCATCACGTGGGGCTTCCGCCCAGGATCTGGCAGTGTTCCCCGTTGGACGCCCGTCCCCGTCGAAGGATTGGGCATCCATGTTGATGGATGGGCATGGGTATCCCGCCCCCGCAAAGCAAGTCTTGCGTGACTTTGAGGAGGTTGGCCCGCCGCCGTCGAGGGAGCAGCAGGGTTCGAGATTGACGTTGTCCTGTAGGCGCCGTTGAGCTCCTCGTGCCTAGAGAAGGCTAGGATGTCCATCCCTGTCGATGGACAGGCATGGGCATCCCGCCCTCACGAGAAGGGTGCCGCTAGTCACCACATCATGTTGGTCCGCACTGTGAAAATAGACCCATCCTCCATGATCGGGACAATGAGGAAACGAAGAGGGTGATCTTCGCGGAGCGAAGATCCGTTACTTGTAATACCTTGATAGGATCCATTTCTAAGGACCCCGGGGGGACGACATCATGGAAGAACGCAGCCAGATTCAAACACTGAGATGCGCTGGGGTATGGGACTTGGTGCGCCGCCTGGTAGGCTGGGCAGCGTAGGGCACGCAGCGCGTGGCGGAAGAGGGAGCGCCAGTTCGGCGCGATGCAAACACAGGGCCAATAGTATCGTCTCCCGGTCACCCTGCATTGCCTAGTGGGGCATGAGCCAAACGACCTCGGAAAAATCAGTTCTCCGCAAGAGCGCTTGGCCGACCGTCGGCGGCGAGGCAGAGGCGATCAGCTCCAGCGTGTGGCAATTCGGGGCATCCGAATGGCTACTTGGCGGGCATGCGCGAGAGGGAAAAGGACGAGGGCGGCCGCGCGGAGGGAGGGGAAGGGAAGAGCATTCAGACGCTTGGCGGTCACGGGGGTTTCCTAAACTCTCTGGTTGGCGCGAGCGAAGCGGCCGCGGGAAAAAACATTTGTCCGCGACGGCTTGAGCCCACGGGGGGCTTCGAATGGGATCCCCCTGGCTGCAGTGCCCCGAGGCAGGACATGCTCTGTCCTCGGATGGCATAGCCAGTTGGTGCACCGGGCCTCTGGTCCCACCAGTGGGGTAAGGCGCCCCTACCCCATATCGCTTCAAGCTTCTCCCTCACTGCTCATGCTCCTTTTTTCGGCCCTCTGCTCCACCCCGCCCCCTTGCGGCTGGGGCGGAACCGTCCCCAGAAGTCTCTGGAGGTCTCAGGAGATCCACATGGGGCCCCCGCGGATATCCGCGAGAGCCTCACGAGGCTTCCCGGAGGCCAACCAGATGCAAAGAACGTGCCGAACACGCGCATCATGTTCGATTATCGAAGCCCCTAGCCCACCTCGATGTCGCCAGACGCCCGACGATGTGATCTTTCCAATCCGTAGGTCGAAGAGGGCTCGACCGCCGCGTCCCCCTCGCCCACCTCGATGTCGCCAGACGCCCGACGATGTGATCTTTCCAATCCGTAGGTCGAAGAGGGCTCGACCGCCGCGTCCCCCTCGAAGCCTCCTCGCCCACAGAACCTGGCTCCTCGACGCCCTGTTCCTCCACTCGGGGGTGGACAGAACCCCCACGCTGACATGTCGATTGGTGAATTGTCCGTTTTCGGCTCTCGAGAGGGCGCCGCGGCCGTCATTTTCCAGGCTTGCGCCCCCCCAGGCTTGGGCCCGAGATCGTTTTCACCAAACCACGTTTTACTAAAGGAGGGTCTGTCCATCCCCGATTCCACCCCGATGGTCGATTCTTGAAGGTCGGGGAATGCGTTGTGACCCGAACGCCGAGAGGCATCCAACCGCAGCGCCAGGGAGGCCCCAGAGCGACCAGGGCCGTCCAAGAACCTCGATGTTCGAACCTCGACCGGCCGATCCTCGATCCGCGAGGCCTCCCCCTCAACTCGCGCACGCTCCGCTGGTGACCTCCTCCTCCTCCTCTTCCTCCTCCTCCTCCTCCTCCTGCCCCTCCCTCCTCCTCCTCCTCCTCCTCCTCCTCCTCCTCCTCCTCCTCTTCCTCCTCATGATCCTCATCCTCATCGTCCTCGTCTTCCTCATCTTCGTCCTCCTCCTCCTCCTCCTCCTCCTCCTCCTCCTCTGGGAAAGCCACGCTGGTTTCCCACTCGCCTGCATCGGGCAGCTTGTCTGATGAGGACGGATCTGGTTCCTAGGCCACCCTGGGCTCGCAAGGTCCCTTGCCTCCGAAACGGCAGCGTCACGCGGCAGTGGGGACAGTACAAGGATATGAGGGATAATGTTAGTAAGAACGTCCTCCTCCAACCGCACCTCTACGCCTCCTCTTCTTCATCTCCTGCCTCCTCCCTCTCCTTCTACTCTCTCTGCTCCACCTTCCTCGCCCTCCTCGACCCCCGATCCTCGGTTCTCGAGCGGCCCGCTCCCCTACAGGCGCGCGCTCGCGCTCCTCCCGCAGCCCCCCGCCACTGGCGCCGACGCCACCGCCGCCAGCGCTCACGCGTTGGCCGCCGCCGCCTGCGTCAGAGGCGCCGCGGCGCGCGCGCGCGCGGGACCGCACGGCGACGTCGGTGCCGTCGACGTTGTCGGCAGCGGCGACGGCGACGACGTCGTCGATGGCGCCGTCGACGGCGGCGACGGCGACCACGACGTCGTGGACGTCGTCGACGATGTGGGCGCCTGCGGCGGAGACGCCGACGACATGGTTCTTTCCCACTGTCGATCCCACCATCCTCCTTACAATCGATTATACTATCGGCTTCACTATCGATCTCACCATCGATCTCAATATCATATCACGAATTCCAGACCTTCCACTGATTGGGTTTTTTGATGATGTTCTGGGGTGTCTCCTGGGGGTTCTCGTCGACACGTCGTCGGCCCGAGGCACCCAGTGGGCGCTGGCCCTCGTGCTGCTGCGCCGGACGCGCGGCCTGAGGCCGGGGCCTCGGGCGAGGAGGGGGAAGAGCGAGGTTTGAGGACGGATGCTTGCGTTAGGTCGGGCGTGTCCTCCTACAGGTGGATTCAGGACGAAAGTTGAAAAATTGTCAAACCATACTCGCAAAAAAATACAAATAGTCGGAAACATCGTCCACATAGTATTCCCTACCTAGGCTCTGCCTAGAAGGGTTTTTACTGAGTGTGCTTAAAGGGGCCGGGCAGTGGACCCCGCCCCGGGCGGTTCCCCCGGCATCCGCCCCGCGGTTCCCCCAGCTACGTTTATCTTGGCTTAGCTTAGCTTATCTCATCTTAGCTTATCTCATCTTAGCTTATCTCATCTTAGCTTAGCTTAGCTACGCTTCCTTAGCTTATATCATCTTAGCTTAGCTTAGCTTAGCATCGCTTAACTTAGCTTAGCTTGGCTTAGCTTGACTTAGCTTAGCTTAGTTTAGCTTAGCCTAGCCTAGCCTAGCCTAGCTTAGCTTAGCTTAGCTTAGCGTAGCATAGCTTAGCTTACCTTAGCTTACCTTAGCTTAGCGCAGCGCAGCATAGCGCAGCGCAACATTAACACATCATAACATGGCATATCATAGCCAATCATAGCACAGTATAGCATAGCATATATCAGCATATCATAGCATAGCATAGCATAGCGCAGCATAACATAGCATCGCATATCATATAACTGCTTAGCATAACACAACGCAGCATAGCGAAGCATAGCACAGCATAACACAGCATATCATATCATAACATATCATAGCATAATGCAGCATATCATCGTATAGCATAGCATAGCGCAGCATAGCATAACGCAGCATCGCATAGCATAGCATAGCCTAGCCTAGCCTAGCCTAGCCCAGCATAGCATTGCGCAGCATAGCATAGCATAGCATAGCAGAGCAGAGCAGAGCAGAGCATAGCATAGCATAGCATAGCAGAGCACAGCATCCACTACTGCTGCTGCGAATGCTGCTGTCCTAGAGGCTCCAGCTCCTAGGTAGGGTCGCACTGGGATACGTCTGGGATCATGCTGGAGTGTTCTTCCTGTGGAGGGACGTGCCCGACTCAATTCAGGAGGAAAAGAAACACACAGACACAATTAAATCTCGATTCCCCAGAAAATATGGGAAAATATGGGAAGGGGTGGGGAAGACAAAAACCCAGGAAATATGGGAAAATATGGGGGATATTTTTATTTGTGTGTATTTGTTTGTGTGTTCCAGTTCCCCTTCATCAATGCTTGTGAGAGTTCCTGATGTTTGGTTGGGGCTCTCCGGGAGGCTCCGCGTCGACACGGCTGCATATCCGCTTCGAGGGGCTTGTCAGCACGCGCCCCAGGGCCCTCAGATCGGGCTCGGGGGCTGTCTTCGGGTCGTGAGAAAGTTAGACGTTTTTTGTCGTTGAATGGTTATTTCTAGAGAAAATATTGTTGATCAATATTGTTGATCACCCCCTCTGGTGCCCATTGTCTTTTTCAGTTGAGGTGCCCCTCACTTCTGGGGCTCGCACCTTGCTTTTCCCAACCATCCTCTGTTGTTGGGTCCCCGTTTGAAAAAAGAAACAGTGCTCCGCGTTCCTATTCCTCCTCCTCCTCCTCGTCCTCCTCCTCCTCCTCCTCCTCCTCCTCCTCCTCCTCCTCCTCCTCCTCCTCCTCCTCCCCCACTCCCTCCTCCCATCCTTGTCTCTGCCCTCCGCACCAGTCAACCATGTCGGCACATCCTTCACACGTTCCGTGGCCCCATAGGGAGCTCCACCGAAGGTCCCAGCGCTACCGCCCGCATGCGTCCCCCCACCCACTGCAGCGATTCGCGGCCCCATAGAGAGCTCCACCGAAGGAAGGTCCCAGTGTTACCGTTCGCATGCGTCCCCTCTGCGCAGTACAGCGTTTCGTGCCCCCATTGGGAACTCAGCCGACGGCCCCAGTGCTACCGCCCGCATGCGTCTCCCCCACCCAGTACAGCGTGTCGTGGCCCCATTAGCGTGCTCCACAGATGGTCCCAGCGCTACCGCCCGCATGCGCCCCCCCACCCAGTACAGCGGTTCGTGGCCCTATAGGGAGCTCCACCGAAGGTTTCCATTGCACCGTCCGCATCCGTCCTCTCCACCCAGGACATCGCTTCGTGACCCCATAAGGAGCTCCACCGACGGCCTCAATGGCACCGTCCACATGCGTCTGCCCCACCCACTGCAGCGCTTCGTGGCCCCATTGAGAACTCCATCGAAGGCCCCAGTGGCAAAGTCGACATGCGTTCCCCCCACCCAGTGCGTGGCCCCATTAGGGAGCTCCACCGACGGCGTCAATGGCACAGTCCACATGCGCGGAGAAGGAAGAGGAGGAGGAGGAGCAGGAGAGGAGGAGGAGGAGGAGGAGGAGGAGGAGGAGGAGGAGGAGGAGGGGAAGGAGGAGGAGGAGGCCGAAGTTCTCGACGTCGGCGCTGTTCGCGGAGGCGATTTCCGTGAACACGAACGTGTTGGGCTCTTGTTGAGCCCCTGATCCAGCCGGTATCGGTGCGTTCTCCCAAAACACCAGCCACGGCATCCCTATGTGTGATTCCAATCGGTCGGAAGACCGGCCAGTGCCCGGATTACAACCTCGAGCTCGGAAGGCATCGTGGACCCGTGAGGTGTCATGGGGCACAGTAAGTAAGCGGATCTTCTTTGTGAGGGGAGGGGGGGAGGAGGATGTGTAGGATGAGGACGAGGTAGGAAGAGGTGGGGGAGGACGGCGACGACGAAGCTCCAGGTTTGGGGATCCTATGTGGGCCTTTTAATGCCTTCGCGGAGGAGGAAGAGCAGGAGCAGCTGCAGCAACAGCAGCAGACAGAGGATGAGCAGGAGGAAAAGCAGGAACAGGAGGAGGAGGAGGAGGAGGAGGAGCAACACGGGGACAAGGGGGAAGACGAGGAAACAAGGAGGAGCAAGAAGTGGAGGGCATTGAAATTTCCGAGGACTGGTGGGGGGTCTAAGGGGCTCTCCGATGTTCTGTATGGAGGAGAAGGCGGATAATGAGGAGGAGGATAAAAGAGCAAGGGGAGAACCATGACGAGGAGGAGGAGGACGAGGAGGTGGAGAGGACAGGAAGATGAGGAAGACAAGGAGGAGGACCAGTAGGATTATGGGGTGGTAGGGGAAGGGGGCGGGATGAAGGAGGGAGGAATGAGGTGGTAGGGGAAGAGGGCGGGAGTAAGGGGGGGAAGAGGAGTCGGCAGATGAAGATCACCATGACGCTACGAGGATCGTAACACTTAGCCCCGCAGATGCCGCCGCGCAAGGGCAACGCTACTGCAGGGCCGACGTCTCCTCAATCGATCGACCCGCTCTCCCACTCCATCTTCTCTTCCCTTCTCTCCGCCATCCTCCTACGGTCGGGAACGTTTTGCTTCTCGTGTCGGTCCGCCAATGCTGACCCACCACGCCTAGGCACGTCACGCTAACCACGCTCCGTTCCCCGAGCGTCTACGTCCTGAGCCTCTCTCAGCCCCCGTCCTGCGAAGTGGAGCCGCAAGCCGTCAGCTCGTGGGGCATGGCGTGTCGCCGGGGCTGCTGCTGCCACACGCTGAGCCAGAGTTCCGCACCGTAAGTCCTCATCCTTCTCCTCCCCTCCTTGTCCCCCCATTCCCCCTTTCCCCTGTCCCCCTCCCCCCTCCCCCATTGCTCGATCGACCCTCCTATCAGGGGAGGAAAAACTGGCCCATCTCCCAGGATTGGCATTTACTGAACAGCCCTGCCCTGTCCGATTCCTGCATTGGGTGCGTTTGCGCTAGACTTATAATGAGAGTGGTGTTTCTGCTCTATATCCTCTCCCCAGATCTCCTCCTCCTTCTCCTCCTCCTCCTGAGCTTCGGGCGGTGCCAAGGGAGGTGCCAAGGGGGTCGTCAGCAGGGGGGGGACATCCTCCTCCTCCTCCTGCTCCTCCTCCTCCTCCTCCTCCTCCTCCTCCTCCTCGTGCGAATCGAGGATCTAGGAGGAGGAGGGAGGACCGAAGAGCGATGAGGCTTGGGCTGCCTCTAGGAGTCCTGGGGAGCTCGGGTGGTCCAGGGGTGGGGCTCCGCGACCCCCCCCCGTGGTGAGCCCTGGCACTGTTTGGGATGAGCTCCAGAGACCCTCGGACTTACTCGACGTCGGAGGCACCACAAGGTGCAGAAAGCCCCAGGAGGTTCCAGGAGGTCCCCAGGAGGAGGGGGCGAGAGACGGGGCTCGATTTGGGGAGGATGTTTCAGGCGAAACTGCCATCCTCTGAGAACCAGGGTCAAGATTATTAATTTCTATATGTTTTTGGAAGGTTTTATGTTAAAATGTTGAAGTCTTTGAAGTCACAAAGCATGCGCAAACGCTGTATTCTTAGCCGCGTGAAGCGAAAAGTGCTTATGCCCCAGCGCTTTAGTATGCTTCGGGGGACAAGCACGAGGAAACGCAGAGGCGCCTCTACTCGATTACTCCGCCCTGCTCCTCATGGTCCTCGTCCTCCGAAGGCGACGACGACCAAAGCCGTGAAATTCCCATGTGTTTGTGGGCCCTGACGTCACGACCTGCCTGGGTCGGCGCGGGCTCGCGGGCTCTCGAGAGCGCGCTCCGGGCAGCTCCCGAGTCGCCCTCCCACTCGCGCACGGAGCTGTCCTCCTCCTCCTCCTCCTCCTCCTCCTCCTCCTCTCCTCCTCCTCCTCCCTCCCTCCTCCTCCTCCTCCCCCTCCCCTCCCCCTCCCCCTCCCCCTCCCCCTCCCCCAGTCGGCCAGTCTCGGCACGTGACCCTCCTCTCGGTCTCCGCACTCGGCCCTGTGGCTGGTCATTGGACGCGTGCACGCTCGGAGTGAGCACTTCCGCAGCGCGCTGGCAGCGGAGGCCGCGCGGGTGCTGAGCAGACGGCGGTGATGAGTTTGACCCAATGGGGCATGTCGGTGGGCGGTCGGCAGGACACGCAGAGATAGCCCCTGTCAGAGCTCAAAGCGTATCGGGCCTGGATCCCTAATGCTACACGGGCCCGCCGTTCAAGTCATCAGTTGGGCCTGCGGTTCTGAATCATTTCGTAGAGGGCGAGCCAGCCTCTTGAAGAGTTCCACAGGAAAGCGTGCTGGGCGCGGGTAAGGAGAGGGAGCAGGACAACGAGGCTGAGGAGGAGGAGGAGGAGGAGGCGGGGGGAGAGGAGGGGAGCAGGAGGACATGCTAGAGAGAGAGGGGATGATGTGGCGGATGGGTCGTGGCATTGCTTGTGCCTTGCCGAGGGTCCTCCCGGGAGTGGCCGCGCTCAGCACGGCTCTGAGCGGCTGCGAGAAGGGCAGATACTGGGAAGGCGCGGGGGCGAGCTACCAAAGCCGCGCGCGGGCCGCTGTCTGGCATGTTCTGTGCTTGGATGTTCCGGGCTGCATCTTCAAGGCGTTTCTCGTCCCTCTCTACTCTCTGTTTCGAAGGGCAATATGCCATGACTCATGATGGTGCGCCCCATGAGTTCTAGGTCTTCCCGTTGTCCCGCGCGCTCTCCAGAGAGGAGGGCCGCCAGGCACCCTGGCAATCTGGGCACGATCCCTGGGAGCCAATCGCATCATTGCGTCATTGCCGTCCTGTTCGCCCGCAGGGCCGCCTCGAGAACTGCACCAGGGTGCCAGGCACGTCCTGTCGTCCCCTCCTGCCCCTCGCCTTCGGTCCCGGCCCTGGCTTTGTGCGTGCTGCAGGGCTCGCTTCGAGACCTCCCGGGGGCCCTGAAGTGCGAGAGAATCGGCCGGCACTTCCTCGCCGCCTTGGCCAGAACAACGCTCTTGGCATGGGCGGCCCAGCCGAGTCCAGGGCACGCGCGGGGCCGAGGGAGGGGGAGGGAGGGAGGGAGGGGAGGGAGGGAGGGGAGGGAGGGAGGGAGTCGAGTGGGGGGGAGGGAGGGAGGGGAGGGGAGGGGAGGGGAGGGGAGAAGCAGCAGAGGGGGAGGAGGAGGAGGGCGGGAGGCGGGGGGTCGGAGGATGGCGGGGGACGGCGAGGAGCGCGGCCCAACACATGCCGAGGGCGGTCCCCAAGTGGCGGGCATGCAAGCGGTTGCCTCTGCCCATGCCACGGGGGCCCGACGCTGCAGCCAGTGGGACACTGCACTCTCGGCCCGACCGCCGCGCGGCCCGCAAAGAGCGACGGGGTCACGAGGGGGCGCTCTGGCGCCAGAGCCGCCTCTTCGCTCGCGGGCCCCTGTCTGCTGCAGGGCTGCGCCGCTGCACACACACCCACACACACAAGACAGGGCGAGGAGGGGAGACGGCTTGGAGGATGCAGAGGAGGACGAAGAGGAAGAGGAGGAGGAGGAGGAGGAGGAGGAGGAGGAGGAGGAGAAGGATAATCTGGAGGGGGAAGAGGATGATCTGGATGAAGACTTGGAAGCGGAGGGCGAGGGTAGAGTTAGAGTGTCGAGCGGAGGATCCTGCCCCCGCTTGTCCATTGCCTCGTGCCCAGACCTTTTCCTGTTTGTGCAGGGAGAGCGTGCGGGGGGGGGGGACTTGATGAGAGCGTTTGTGCTATCAAGCGTAGACTGAGGAAGGGGCATGGCGAGGAAGAGGAGGAGGAGGAGGCAAGCGTAGACTGAGGAAGGGGCATGGCGAGGAGGAGGAGGAGGAGGAGGAGGAGGAGGAGGAGGAGGAGGAGAGGAGGAGTAGGAGGAGGAGGAGGAGGAGGAGGAGGAGGAGGGGGGGATGGAGAGGAGCGAGGGGGGGATGCCGAAGTGGAGCGAGAGGAACAAGCGCGGCATGTACAGAGCGAGAGGGAGGAACTTATCTTCGCGCCGCCGCCCCTCGCCCTCGCGTCGCCGGCCCTCCAGCCTCGATCGCCGCCCTTCGACGAAGACGACGACGACGACGACGACGGCGACGACGACGACGACGACGACGACGACGACGACGACGACGACGACGACAACGCGGGCGACGAAGACAACGAGGACTATGACGACGAGGAGGATTGGAAGACGACGGCGAGGAGGGCGGCATCTCGATTCTGCTCCCTCCCTGTCCTCGTCGTGCCTTGACCCCCCGATGTCACGACTTGGTCGCGACGTGGGCCCTCGTTCATCTCGACCTCTCCGTTCCCGGGGTGGGGCGCTCTAGACGGATCCGTCGGAGGGCCCCTGGGCCAGGGAACGGGCCCCTGTGATCGGAGGCAAGCACAGCGCCACCAGCACTGCCTGTGGTGCCACCTGCAGCGAGGAGGCCAGCGATGCCGCCCGGAGCTGGGGATCGGGGATGCCTCGAGCGGGAGGGGGGGGCACCACGCCACCAGCAGCACCACCCCCCTGGCTCCTCGCGCCGGCGGTGGCGATGTCGTCGCGCCCTGGTACTGCTGCGCGCCGAAGGCGGAGGAGAAGCACCCGCGAGGCGCAGTGCAGAGCCGCGCGCGACCCTCCGAGGCCCCTCGGCCCTCGGCCCTCGCGCGCTGCTCCTCCCGCGCAGCACACGCCCGCCTCGCCCAACCCCGCCCCCGCCCTCGCGCGCCCGCCCGCCCGCCCGCCGCCCGCCCGCGCGCCCGCCCGCCCTCGCGCGCCCGCCGCTCTCTCGCGGACCTGCCCGCCCGCCCCCGCCCTCGCGCGCTGCCCCCGCCCTCGGCCCTCGCGCGCCGCCCTCGCGCGCTGCCGCCCTCGGCCCTCGCGCGCCGCTCTCGCCGCCCCGCGCGCTGCCGCCCTCCGCTCGCCCCCCGCGTCGGGGGCCCCGCCCCGGTGCGCCCCCCCGGCAGGCGCCGTCGGGCTGCTCGCGGACGCCCTCGGGCGAAGGCTCCTCGACGGCTTGGGGGGGGGGGGAGGAGGGGAGCATGGAGGAGGGGGGGAGGAGGAGGAGGAGGAGGAGGAGGAGGAGGAGGGGAGGAGGAGGAGGAGGAGGAGGAGGAGGAGGAGGAGGAGGAGGAGGAGGAGGAGGAGGAGGAGGAGGAGGAGGAGGAGGAGGAGGAGGAGGAGGAGGAGGAGGAGGAGGAGGAGGAGGAGGAGGAGGAGGAGGAGGAGGAGGAGGAGGAGGAGGAGGGAGGAGGAGGAGGAGGGAGGAGGAGGAGGAAGAGGGAAGAGGAGGAGGGGAGAGGAGGTCGAGGAGGGAGAACGAGGAGGGGGAGGAGGGGGGGGAGGCGCGGAGTGAACGGCACCGCCGCCGGCTCCCCGCTCGAGTCCCATCTCCCCCGCTGCCAGTGACGGAGAGCCCTGAGCCGAGTCGAGGGGGCCCCGGGCGGGATTGCAGGGCCGAGTCGCCGCGCTGAGCGTCGCGGGGGCCTTCTGCATGAATGAGGGGGGAAGTGTCGAGACGGACGAGGGCAGCATGGTGACCATCTGCGCTGGGCTCAAAGCGGCTGGGGTGATCGCGGCGGTCGTCTCTGAGCCCAAGCTGGCGCCTGGCCTGCCCTGGCCAGAGTGGACGGGCTACACCTTCCACGACGAGCGGAGCGCCGGGTTAGACAGCGTCGGGCTCTGAACTGCCACCCCTGTGGCGGCAAAGTTGCTGCCAGTGCTGGAAGTGGGCGGGCCCCGAGCCACTTGGTGCGAGCTTCCTCGGGAGGCGGGCCCTGGGAGCCCGATGGGGTGGCGGTCCGGAAGCCTCTGGCAGCGGCGCTGGGAGGACTGGGTCGTGCTGCAGGGCCGCCCGAGGCTTCGGGACTGGAGGCTTGTTATCCTCGGGGGGCTTCAATCTTCACTTTGCGCGCCTGGGCATGACCAGTCGGCGGGCTGAGTCCTTGCTCGACTGCGAGATCCTTGACATGCTTCTGCGCCCCTCTGGCCTCGGCGCGGTGGTGCTCCGCAATCCAGTCAGGGTGGGGACGCACAGGTCTGGGGCCATCATGGACCTTGTGGCCTCCTCCGCCGACTTTCCTGTGCGTGTGGTGGTCGTGCCGTGCGGGTCCCCAGGTGTCCCTGGTGACCATGCGAGGCTCGACGTCGACCTCCCGGCGACCTTCACAGCAAGCTCTGAGATGGCGCTCGGCCGCAGTAGGTGGGAGCACGGGGACGAGTGGGATGCTGCACTTGGTCGCGTCGCGACGGCGCTCAGCTTCGTCAGGGGCTGGGCTGGTGCCGCGGTGCGGGGCACGGAGTTCCGGGAGTGGACGGCCCGAGGAGCAAGGCGAGGTGTACGAGGAGGCCTCCCGGACCGCGCTGTTCGGCACCGCTCGGTGGTGCACACCTGCCCCGCGTGCGAGCGGCCTGCCCGGGCGGGGGGTCCAGGGAGGGCGCGGCGGCGTTGCAACCTCGACGCGCCCAGCGCAGGCCGCCTCGCTCTGGAGGATGAGCTCGCCGGCGCGCGGCCCGAGTGCCAGGCTCGGGCCCCGGATTGATATCTGGAACTCGTGGCGACCTCCCGCGAAGATCAGCCACGCGCAGAGGGGGGTGGGGGGAGGGGGGGGGGCTTCTTAGAAGCACCCCTGCTTCTTAGAAGGCGCGGGCCTTATCCATAGATGTAAGGCTGGCGCCTTCTAAGAAGCAGCCTGGTTCTAAGAAGCCCTCCCCCCTCCCCCCACCCCCTTGTGCGCGCCGCCACGAAGAGGCGGAGAGCCACGTGGGCGGACTCCTCGAGCCGCGCGAAGCGCTGCAGCTGGCCCTCGGGGGCCCGGGGGCCCGGGCAGGCGGCTCGCCCCCGCCGAAGCGATCGAGGCGGCCTCAGTGATTGCGCCCATCCTCGGCTGGGGCGCGGCGGCAGGTCCGGGGGGGGGCCTCATTCAACGCGCAGGTCCGCACAGAGGTCCGGGCAACCCAGGTCGCTGCACGCTCGCATCGGGGCGGAGGCCAATGTGAAAATGGCCGCCCCCGTACACCACGTAGACGTGGGCGCTGAGTTGGCGACGATTACTTTGAACAGCCTCAGCACGATGGGGGAACTCGGCGACCTCTTGTCCCTGGAGGCGGAGATCGTTCAACAGGCCCGAGCTCCTGTCGCAAAAAGCGCTCCGCTTGCCCTGCGCCGCGGCAAGGGCAGCGCAGGCGCCAGGCCGTCTGGTGACGTGGCCGTTCTCAATTCGGCGCTGGTCTCTGGCCTCTGCGCACGTGAGTGGATGCGGGGGAGATCCCCGATCCGTAAACGGGGGCCCCCAGTCGTCGGCGACCCTCCTGTCCTTCGGCCCATCAGCTGCGTTGGGGACCTTGAAGGGTTCCTGGATGCCGGCCGGTTGGCCGCAGCCCGCCCGTTGCTGGAGCAGCTCGCCAGCTCCAGGCGTGCAGGGGGGCGCTACGATGCGACGCTCCTGGCGGCTGGGCTGCTCTTCCCGCTCCAGGCGCGTGCTGCTGCAGCTGCGCCGGGCCGGACTGCGCAGACTGCGCGGGCGACGACGGTGGCTCGCGGCGGCGGCCTCCCTCAGCGAAGAGCGCGTGCGGGTACGCGTGGGCCCCCTCGTGGATCCGATCGCGACGCTCCTTGGCTTCGGGGTGGGGCGAGGCCAGCGCGCTGGCGTCCACCTGTTCGTCGCGCTGGTCCGCGCTCTCGCTGGCGCTTGCGAGGCCGCCGCCCAGCCGCTCCTGCTCGAGGAGAGCGCCACGGCGAGCCCCCCTCCACCCCCTCGCTGCCGCTGCTGCAGTTCGCAGACGACACTTTCGTTTTGCAGCCAGACGAGACCAGCTTGATGCGGGTCACAGCTGGCTTGGGCGCGTGCGGTGCCGCATATCGCCGCCGCTACCAGGGCGGAAGTACGGGCCCCGCTGCAATGGCGGTGGGCCTGCCGGCCGTGGACCACAGCAGGTGCGGCGCCATCGGGGGCGTCGGGGTCCGCGCTGTCAGCCAGTTCGAGGTCCTGGGCATCCCAGTGAACGCGGAGCTCTCCTTGGATCCGCTCCTGTCACGCACCTGCGCGATCTTCTGTGACGGCGCGCGACGACTGACGGCCGCCCTCTCGGACAAGGGGTTCGGCCTCCTCAGGATTGTTGGTCAGGTCCCGGGCCGCGTCGAGTCCGCCGCGCTGTGTGGCGCGGAGCTACTTGCGAGCCATGCGCGTGGCTGGGCCGCAGTCGCGGCCCAGCTAAATCGCGCATTCTACGACGCGGCGAAGGCGCTCTTGGGGCTCCCCCCAGGTATGTCCTTCGGCGACGGTGGCTACCTCGGCGTCTTCCTGGAGACGCGGCTGCTGACGCGCGTGGCTGCCAATGTCGCCCAGCGCGCCATTCTGGCGTGGGCTCATTTGCTGGCGCTCCCAAAAGGATCGCCCGTCGCGCCCGCGGTCGAGGCGGCGCTGGCCCCTGGCAGGAGCACCTGGCTCCAGGACGTGGCCGCGGTGGCCCGGAACTTCGGGTGGAGCCGCCGCCCGACAAGCTGAAAACCGCGGTGTCGGAGGGACCCGCCGCCCGCCGCAGGGAGGTGCGGCGCTGGGCACGGTCTTCCCGCAGGTGCGTGAAGCGAAGAGGGCTTGGTTTTGCGAGCAGCTGGCAGAGCTCAACGACATGGGGCTGCTGCCGATCGCGGTTGCCCTCCCCTTGCGTCAGGCCTGGCCGGAGGAGCTCCGTTGGGCCTCCTGGGGCCAGACCCAGTGGAGGTTCCACCGCGCCTGGTGCGTGGCGCGCGTCACGTCCGAACTGCCCACTGCCATCTGTTGGCTTGGGGGTGGCCCGCCTACCGATCACCTGCGCCCCAGGCCCGCTGTCCCCGCCGCGCTGGCCCTCAGGCCCTCCGGGGTGGCGGCGCTCGCAGCGGGGCGCTCAAAGCTCCCAGGGGCCTTCCGACATCTTGACAGTCCATTTGACAGTCCGCCCCTGCTGCTGCTCATCCCGTCTTCCTCCTCTTGCCTGTCTGTTCGCTGCGCTGGAGACCGCCCAGGCCGCACCATCCACCATGAGTCCACTCATGCACAAGAGCGAGAGAAGTGGAACACATAAAAGATACGAAAAATGACTCCTCCTCCTCCTCCTCTTCCTCCTCCTCCTCTTCCTCCTCCTCCGTTATTCGGCGTGACCGCGGCAGCGGGCGATGGCGCACGTCTCTTCCCTTTCATCGTCCTTCTCTTCCTCCACCCCTCTCCTCTGTGGTCGATGACCGCTGGCTGAGCAAAACAAGCACGTCCTCTTCCTGGTTTGTTGCATGGGTTCGTGGCAACGCAACAGGGCGAAACCAGCCCTCACGACAGCAGCGCATCAGCAGCAGGAAGCAGCGGCGGCACGGCGCGGTGGGTGCCTCCGAGCCACGGCAGCCGACGCCCAGGGCGCAGGGGCCGCGGCGCGGCGCAGGGTTTGGTGGGTGAGGGGGGGAGTGGATGGGAGGGCAGGAGGGGGTCGGGGTGGGGGTGTGGTGGTGGGGGGGAGAGCCTCCTTGCTCCTCCTTGTCTTGCTCCTTCTCCTCCCATCCTCCTCTCCAAAGCCCGATGCCCTCCAAGCCTCTTGCGGCTTCCCCTCCCCGCCCTCCATTTGGAGGGGATTAAGGTTTGGGGGGTCTTTCCAGCCTCGGCTGAAGGCAGCAATGGCTCGGCACTCGGTTGCCGTTCCCCTCTCCTCCTCTTCTCCTCTGCACGCTGTGCTCGGCTCAACCGCTTGCAAAGCATAATCATCACATGCTGCAGCCCACATCTGTATGCACCCCAATTTTGGAGAGCCAGCTATCCTTTCTTGGTCCGCCGACAGCCAGTTGTATTCGCCGAGTGCCGTTGCCAGCTGTAGAGTGCGTCGCCTTTGTCCGCTCTCTCGCCCAGGGTTCGCCGCGTTGAGGCCGAGTGCAGCTCGGGAGTGTTACACCTGGAGGGTCCAGAACGGTATCCACCGTGCTCGCATGCACCGCCTCTCGGCTTGCTTGCGCGCAGCGCCAGGCACCATGCATGCACCGCTTCCGATGATAGGGCCACGAGTTCGTGTGACGTGTTTTTCCCAATAGGCGTCACGTCTTGGTTTGTAGCCCCCGTCTGTAGAAGAAGCGCACACCACAGCGTCTGGCCGAACTTCTCACCTCCTTCTGTATCATACATACAGAACACAACATCCTGGGGACCAACCATACTTCTTCTCGGGCTCCTGCTCCTGCTCCTCCCATCTCCTAGACCGCCCCTCCACTTGTGCCTTTCCTGGGCTCCGTGGTGGCTCCTCGCTCGCCCCCCCCCCTCGGGAGGCTGCTGAGTGACGAGTCCTTGCAGATTGATAACCCCTTCCTCATCACCCGACTCCCTGAGGATCGGGGATCGAGGCTCTGGATGTGTTTTGGGCCTTCGGTTGGGCCTTTTTGGGGGCCAGGCTCGTGGCTACGGCTGGACTCGCCGCGGAGCTCGGGCCAGAACGCGCCCCAGGACGGGCCTGGAGGACGCCTCTTAAAGTGGCGGCCCGGCCCTTTTCGGCGTCATGACAACATCGCGACGGCCAGCTGCTGCGTCATGACACAGTGACAAACGTTATCCTGGCGAAGGACCCGACCATGTGCAGTTGTGGGTGCCGCAATTGTGAATATCTTCTTCGGTGAAGCTCCCCATGGGGCCACGAAGCGCTGCACTGGGTGTGGGGGGAACGCATGCGGGCGGTAGCACCGGGGCCGTCGGTGGAGCTCCCTATGGGGCCTCGAAGCGCTGTACTGGGTGAGTGAAAACGCCAAATTGGATGTGTGGGACGCATGCCGGCGGTCCCCTTGGGAGCTTCGGTGGAGCTCCCTATGGGGCCGCGAAACATTGTACTGGGTGGGTGAACTGGGTGGGTGAAAAATGCCAGATTGGGTTTTCGGGACGCATGCGGACGGTCCCACTGGGGGCTTCGGTGGCTCCCTAGGGGGGCACGAAACGAAAGCGCAAAATTTGGTTTTCGGGACGCATGTGGACGGTTCCACGGGTGCCGTCGGTGGGGCTCCCTATGGGGCCACGAAGCGCTGTACTGGGTGTGCGGGACGCATGCGGACGGCAGCACTGGGACTTTCGGTGGGGCACCCTATGGGGCCACGAAACGCTGCACTGGGTGTGCGGGACGCATGCGGACGGTAGCACTGGGACCTTCGGTGGGGCTCCCTATGGGGCCACGAAACGCTGTACTGGGCGGGTGAAACGCAGGGAGGAGGGAGGAGGGGGACACAAAACGCTGTACTGGGTGTGCGGGACGCATGCGGACGGTAGCACTGGGACCTCTGGTTGAGCTCCCTATGGGGCCGCGAAACGTTGTGCTGGGTGGGTGTAACTCAGGGAGGAGGGAGGAGGGGGCCACGAAACGCTGCACTGGGTGTGCGGGACGCATGCGGACGGTAGCACTGGGACTTTCGGTGGGGCTCCCTTTGGGGCCACGAAACTTTGTATTGGGTGGGCGAAACGCAGGTAGGAGGGAGAAGGGGGCCACGAGACGCCTTACTGGGTGTGCGGGAAGCATGCGGACGGTAGCACTGGGACCTTCAGTGGGGCTCCCTTTGGGGCGGGGGAGGAGGAGGAAGGAGAGGAGAGGAACGCGGGGACCGTTTCTTCAAAACAAGGACCCAACACCACAGGATGCTTGGGAAAAACTTGTGCTTCCGATTCCGGAGGCCCTTTTCAGGCCCAGGGGAGACCATCAGGGGGGAGAGGCAAGGGCGCCGCCCTCGAGGGCGCGAAGTCAATTATTCGCGCTTCGCGAATCGGCTCTCCCCTCCTGCCTTGCGGAGGGACGGCGCGAGAGCGCGAAGTCATTCGCGCTTCGCGAAGCGCGAAGTTAGGCGCCCCTGGGGAGCCAGTCCATTGGATGAGGTCGAAACCCCAGGGGCCCACGGACTGAGCAATTCCTCATTCCCATGCGGCTTCTCTCCTTCCTCCTCCTCCTCCTCCTCCTCCTCCTCCTCCTCCTCCTCCTCCTCCTCCTCCTCCTCCTCCTCCTCCTCCTCCTCCTCCTCCTCCTCCTCCTCTCCCTCCAGGCCAACACGCAGGAGCAGGGATCCCTCGGGGCCTCGCAGGCGAGAGGGCTCGGGGGCCTCCTCCCGAGGCTCCTCCCCGCGGCGGGCCGCCGGCTCGGGCGCCGGCTGCATACCCTGGGCTTCAGCCGTCGCCGTGTCCCGCGGTCGGCTACACGTAGGAGTGACCCTTCGACGGGGTGACCTCTGGTGCTGGCCCAAAGGGGGTCGGGTGATTTTTCTTGTGGAATGAGCTTGGCCTCGCGTCGGCACCCGCATCGCGTGATTACGCTCGAATCTGAGCGCGTCAGGTTTGGGCCCACACCTTGCAATCGACAGCAACGCATACGCGTCGAACCCTACAGTTTGCATTGATTACCCGAGGGGGAGCCGGTCGACCAGACGGCGCGCTTTCCGGCCCAGGACCAGTCGCGAATCCCAGCCCAAATCCCACCACGTCTGGCTTGAATATTTTTGGGTATTTTTGAATATCTTTGAATATGTGTTCCGAACCAATGGGGATCCTTATTATTATAAGTTATCCAAAGATATTCAAACATGTTCCGGGCTCTCGGATGGGGCCAGTTTTGGCCATCGCGCCGGGCCTGGTCAGACGTCATCGCGATGCAGCCCGCCAGTGCCAGACCTCATCGCGGTGGCCCTCGGCACCGTCTGCTTTCGCAGGCCCTTCGGAGTGCCATTCGGGGCGCTCGAATTCAATCGGCAGAATTCCGCGGCTGCCCGCTGGCGCAACAAATCTTTCGAGTGGCGCCCCGCCGATCGTTGATGCGGCGCGGCAACGCCTGCTTGTGCGATGGCGTTGGGCCCCCACGGGCGCCCCTGAAGCCGCGCACCAAAGGTCACTCTAGCCTAGGGTCACTCCTACGTGTAGTCGACTCGGGCGCTGCGTACACGCTGGTCGTTGAAAGTAGGTGTTGCTGGATTCCCAGATCCCGGTCTACTTCAAGCGCCTTGCTACTTCAAGATTGTATCTGCCTTAGCTGTGTTTTGTCAGTGTCTCGGAGGGCCTGAGCCCAACCTACTTGATCCGCCTTCGTATTTTCCAACCGACGTATAATGTGTGTGTGTGTGTGTTTGTGTGTGTGCGTGTGTGTAGGGGGAGGAGGGGGGGGGGGGGTGGGCGAGACCTGGCGGGTGAAGAAAGATGCGCCTTCTCGTGCCCTACAGTGCCCTGAAAGGGGCCCCCTGGAACCCAAAAGGGGCACGAACGATGCACTTCCCCCCCTAAACCATCCCCCCATTGAGCAACGCTCGGGTCCTACGACCCCTGTCCTTACTTTGCCACCCTAGAGTGCCTCGTCGCAGTCATCGCTGCAATACGCGAGGTGTATACTGCAATGCCCCTGCTGTGTTCGGTAGCTCCGTGCCGCAGCGTCCCCACCGCGGGCGCTCAAGGTTGAGCGTCGTCCATGGTCCAGGATCGGCCACTGAAACGATCCGGCGATCAAGAAGCCGCCGATCGTTGAATGTTGAAAGGTCCGCGCGGTGTCAGGGACCACTGCCGGGGTCGTCACGGCACAGGCCTACCGTAGCCCTCTCCTGCCACAGACCTTTGTGACAGGGCGCAGACCGCTCCTCCCCCCGGCGGCGGCGACGTCGGCAGGCTGCGGCCAGACGTCCCCGTGTTCAACGCGGCGGTCAGCGCCTGCGGCAAGGCCGCACGCTGGGAGGACCCGCTGCGGACCGGGGCGGGGAGGGGGGCACGGAGGGTGATCTGGAGGAGGAGGGAGGGGTGGCAGTGGAGGGAGGGGCCGAGGGAGGGGGCGGGGAGGGGGGGAGGGAGGGAGGGGGAGCTCCCTCCCCCCCGGCCACTACAGCAACGCTTCACATCCGCGCACTGACGTGGCCGGGGCGGGGGGAGGGCCGGCGCAGCTCATGCCGAGTTGTTCCAATGAAGAAAGCGGGCAGAGGGAGGGGGTCCCCAGAGTGATCAGAAGGCGGGAGAGGAGGCAGTGGAGTCGTCTAGGCCTCTCAGATGGGGTCTGAGCAGATGGGATCGGAGGATCGCGCCGCATCGCCGATGCATCGCCGAGGCGGCTCGATACGGATCCCGGTTTTCTCCACGCCGACGTCGCCGATGCACATATCTAGCACAATTAGATGTTTCAAACTACGTGTGTTGTAGTTCCACGAAGTGTTAGACATGAGCTCTCAAGTGCGAGCGCCGTTAGTTGTGAGTAAGACAAGTGAGCTGTGGGAGCAGGAAGCGAGGGGGGAGGAAGAGGATAATCGGGAGGGAAGGAAGGGAGGATGACGAGGAGGAACAGAAGGGACGAGGAGGAACAGAAGGCAAGACGATGAGGAGGAGGGGGACTACGACGGCGCCGGCGGCAACACCGCCCATCACAACGACAACCACAACCATCACGGCGACGACGACAATGGGGATGACGACCCCCTTGGCGACGGGGGCGACGACGACGACCACATCAATGACGACGGCGATAGGGAAACGACGCAGAATTGGGCTATTGAATGTCCACCGCGGTGGCGACCGATGACGGCAGCGGCGGCGACGGCCACGACGCCGCCGACGACGGCCACGGCGACGGCTTCGATTCCCGCGGTGCCGCCGCTGGAGTCGAGCGACCGTCCTGCTCCTGCGCCAGAGTGATGCGAAGCAGTTCCTTTTTTGAACGTGGTCTGACGCTGGTCTTTGGTGGTGATCGCTCCGTGTAGTGACAGGGATAGCTTCTAGGGACGTGTGAGGAGGGGGCTCCGGACGGGAGGGCGTATTGCAGCAACGCTGATGCATCTTTCGTCGACTCTGGTCATCCTCATCCTCCTCTTCCGTCCCTCCCTCGCACCCTCTCTCTCGACAAATACGTGAATGCGGCCGTCGACGATCGTCGACGGTGACGACGGCAGCGGCGGCGACAGCAATGGCCACGACGCCGCCGACGACAACCACGGCGAGGGCCTCGACTGCCACGGCGCCACCGCCGACCGGGGCAACGACGTGAACGCGGCCGTCGATGGTCGTTGCCGCGTCACGAGGCCGTCATCGAGGCCGACGTCGGCGACGCGGCGGTCGACGGCCGTCAGCGGCGACGACGGTCTGGTGACAGTCGTCGTCGCGAAGCCGCCGTGGCCGCCGACGGCGGCGACGTGTTCGTCGACGGTCGTCGGCGGCGACGGCGCCCTCGGCGACGCCTTCGCCCACGGCCGACGGCGGCGGCCGACAGCGCGGCCAGCGCCGTCCGTCGAGGAGGCGCTGGCGCTGCTCGGGGAGGCCGCCCGCAGGTGGGCCCGCTGCCGCGCGACCGCCGCCGTCGCCTCGTGGCTATCGCCGTCGTCGTCGCAGCCCTTCGTCGTCGCAGCCTCCGTCGCTGTGCATCGTCGCTGTCGTCGTCGTCGTCGTCGCCGCCGCCGCCGCAGCCGTCGCCGCCTCGCAGAGACCGCCGTCGTCGCAGCTGCCGCCATCGTCCCAGCTGCCGTGGCCGCTCTGCGGCTCTTGGCGTAGGCTCGTTTCCTCGGGAGAGCGCAGGCGAGCGACAGGCGTCGACGGGGGCCCCCGCGCCGCGCCGCGCCGCGCCGCGCGCCGGGCCTCCTGCCCGCCTCGCAGCGGAGGCGCCGCCGCCACCTCCCTGCCGTGCAGATCGCGCTGCTGCTCCTGTGCCTTACGGTCGGGAGCTGCTGGCTGCCGTGTCGCTCCGCGGGGGAGGAGGGGGAGGGGGAGGGGGAGGGGGAGGGGAGGGGGAGGAGGAGGAGGAGGAGGAGGAGGAGGAGGAGGAGGAGGAGGAGGAGGGAGGAGGAGGAGGAGGAGGAGGGAACTTTTGGCCCACCACGCCTCGGCGCGGCACGAGAGCCGCGTTCCGGCCCGCGGGCGCGTCCGCGCCCCGAGCTGCTCCGTGCCTCCCACCCCGCGGAGCGGAGCGACACGCTGTCCGCTCGCAGGCCATGGCGTGTCGCCGGGGCCGCCGCCGCGACACGCTAGGCAAAAGTTCCTGACCGTGTATACAGAACATGTCTACTTACTCATATTCATATCAGTATATATATATATATGTGATATGTGTGTATATGAATATATATATATATATATATATATATATATATATATATATGTGTGTGTGTACATATATAGGGCCGGGAATCCCAGAAAAAGCCCCCCATACCTAGCGAATTGGGCCCACCCCAGGCGTGTCAGGCAACCCTCCAGACGGCCCAGGAGAACCCCACGAGTGCCCGAAGACGGCCCCAGCAGGCCTCCAGGCGGTCCAGCGCGCTCCCGAAACGACCCCAGAGAGCCCCAAGACGGTCCACGACGACCCCAAAGAAGCCGCATACCCCAAAGATCACTCCAAAAACGTCCCAAGAGGCCTCCAAGAGCACTCCCAAGAAGGCCCCAAAAGGCAAACGTCATTGATTTTGTTTTGGTGTTTGGTCTATTTCCGTATGGATTTCGTATAGATTTGGCCTCTCTTGATAAGAGGCCGGGTCCATACGGAGTAGGTCCATACGGATTGTGCGGTCTCCGTCTGGTATTTTTTCACTTGGTCGTAGCCTCTCCTGACAGTGATCCGATACGGCCCGATGCTTTCATGGGAATGGTGTGCATCATTGCGCGGCCGATCTGGTTCGATTCCGACGCTGTGCCGATGCAGCCGGACCCTGCGCGCATTTTCGATTCGATCCAATTTCCTGATTCCGTGCCGACTGATCTTGCCCCACCCCCGCCCTTTTACCAAACGACTCCCCTCCCAGGCCACCTCGCGCCGTCAGAAATAACGACGGAAGTATGTTAACAAATCTACTTCTGGGGTCCTTCTAACTTATTTGCCCCCAGGACCGTCAAGAAGCGTCTCGGGATAAAACGCGGGTCCCAGGGAAATCAGCGGGACCTCGGGGAGCCCACGTTGTGAACAAAAGGCGCTATGTCGCGGAGCTGGGTCCCGCTCGTGGCCGTTCCCACACTTGCTCCCCTCAAGCAGTGGCGAAGCGTCCTGGCGTGCCTATAGTCGTACCAAACGATGTTCTAAGAACCTTTTGTGGTTCCCACGAAATTGTCTTAGAGCATTTCTGGTTGGGACTGTCTTGTTTTATCACATGTTTTTGTTCTTAGAGCAGTTTTGGTTCGAAGTGCATTCCGTGGAAGGACTATAGGAACGCTGGGACGGTCGGTGCCTGCTCAATCCCCCCTCTCCCTGGAACTCCCTCTCTCCCGCTCCTGCCTGCTGACCGCTGTGGTCCCTGGTGTATTGTGGGCTCCACCCCCCAGGCCGACCTTTCGCTCCTTGCCCTTGGTCGATCCCGCGCCCGGAGCCCAGCCTCCGGCGGCCCGAGAGCTTGATAAGCCTGCCGCAGCGGCTCTTGTCGTGCCGCGCGCAGGGGCCGACCAGGGCCAGTGCCCCTCGTGTCCCCGCGATCGCCTCCCCGCGCGCCCTTCGGCTCTCCAAGCGGCCTGCCTGCCCGCCCCGGCGGGGCGCGGAAGCCCTCAAGAGGGGCGGCGCGCCCCGGGCCCGCCCAGCCCGCGGCGCCCCTCCCCACTTCGAGGGGGCACGGCGCCGATGGAGCCCCGCCCGCGCGCCCCCCGCGCCGCTCTCGCCTTCCGCGCGCCCCTGCGGGCCGGGCCCCCGGGCGGCCTTGCGCTCGACGTGGCCTCCGAGGACTCCGACGGCGCCGAGCCCGCGGCGGCGGCGGCCGCCCCGCAGGCGGCGGCGCGCGGCGCCGCGCCCGCGGCCGCGGCAGGGGGCGCCGCGCGCCCGCGCGGCGCTGAGGGCTCGAAGCGCGGCGCGGCGGGGCCGACGGCGGGCCGCCGCGGGCGGCGCGGCCGCGGCTCGCCGCGGCGCGCTGCGCGCCGGACGCCGCCGCCGCGCGCGGCGAGGCGGCGGAGGCCGTCTTCGCGGCCATCGCCGCGTGCGCGCCGGCGCGGGCGCCGGGGCCTGCGGCGATCACGGCGGAGGCGCTGCGGGCGGCGCTGGTGCGCTTCCGGGTGCCCGCCGAGGCGTGCGGGCCAGACGAGGCGGAGGCCCCCCGTGGGTGGCACCGGCCCTGCCCCGAGGGGGTGCGAGCCGTGTGCCTGGCCGGGCAGACCGCGACGACGACGGTATCGACGACGACGACGACGACGACGACGACGACGACGACGACGACGACGACGACGAGGACGACGACGACAACGACGACGACGACGACGACGACGACGACGAGAATGAGATTGGGCGGGGATCCGGGCTGCTGCGGGTCTTTCTTGCCCAGGCCTTGGGAATGTTAGTTTACTGTTCTCAGCTAAGCTTCCTCTTAAGAGAATGACCGCAGCTTGCTCATATATCATTTTGTGCAAAGTGTCACATTTCTGAAAGTCGCCCGTTGGTCGGGATACCCCTGGGCATCAGGACAGTTAGTGACACTACCTCGTCGCAGTACTTCACAAATCAGCAGGATGAGCTCGTCGGTTGCGAGGCTCTTAAGGGCCAACGATTTGCATATGTCGTAGTTCATTGCGCACGTCGTCCCATGTTCGGCCACTCGCGATTCTCTCACCAAGGATCGAGACTTACTGGCCTGTTGGCGAGCGCTCGGCGATGAAACCATTTCACTGCAAGAACACACAAACACATCCTGATTCATCGCAGCTTGTTTGGCAGATGTCTGCTGGCATCTCTGCGCCGTGCAATGTGCAACCGGAGCTCCAGGTTCCAGGCGCAGCGCCAGCAGAAGCGAGCCGTGTCAGAAGGATCGAGGCGCGTGTGCGAGGGCGGACGTGGGCGGGCTTCTCGTGGGAGAGGGGGGCCCTGGTCTCTCAGGCTGCTGTAGAAGGCCGGCGTCGGCCACACTTCCGTGCTCTGCAGAGGCCGCTCGGCAACCTGCCCCCACGCTGCGCTCCTGGCCAGTCCTTCGAGCTGCGCCTCCAGCCGTGGCCACGAGGAGGCTCGCGCGAGGCGCACGGCCTGCCCTCGTGCCCAGCAGCAGCCAGTCGGCGCGGTGCCTGCCCCCGACGCCAGAGATCCGTGTCCTCCCCTCCGCTCCCGCTCCAGGTCCTCCGCAGAGCCCTCCTTTAAAGAGCACGTCCTGACCAGAACTCCGCGTCGGATCCGGCCGGGGCGACGAGGAGCATCCGGGAAGAAGGGCCCGAGGGGAGCGACGGGGGCCCGTCGGAAGATTCGTTCGCGGCGCCCCGAGGGGAAGCCTGCGCCCTGCCCTGGCTCCGAGGCCGCATCCTGTACGGCAGAGCGACAGCGTCCCGATCTTGTCTTGCCGTGGAGTGCGGATCGCCCTTCTGCGAGAGCAGCGGGTCTGTCTCCTGTGCTGTTGTTGCAGGTCGTCCGTCGCTGGATCGTCGTCGCCCCCCGGGCCCCAGGCCTCCGGCGACGTGTCTTTTTTTCCCGCGCGAGGCCGCAGCTGGTGCCGACCCCTTCCTCAGAGGCAGTGTTCCATCCCGGGGCTGCTTGTGTTATCTCGGGCGTGCCCCCCTATACAGGGGGACTTTCGACGGACCCAAAAAACACACCCCATAAATACCCTGTTTTGATTATTTGTTTGCTTATTTTTGGTGTATCTCTTACAGCCGGACCAAGGTATAAGATCGAGGTCGGTTCGGGGAGGGTACCCTAGCGTTCTTCGTGTTTGTCAACCCTTGTGCACCTTGGGGAGGGTACCCTTGGATTTTATCTGTGTGGTTGGGCTGGCGGAGGGTCTCCATTTCTTGAGGGATGCTCTTCTGTCCTAGGCCCGACCGTATTTTTCGTCGAGAGTCCCCCTGTAGGGGGACAGGCCCGATGTAACCCTGTGTTATCTCGGGCGTGTCCCCCTACACAGGGGGATTATCGACGGACCCAAAAAAACCACCCCCAAAATACCCCGTTTGGATTCTTTGTTTGCTTATGTTTGGTGCATCTCTTTTCTTTCGTCGACAATCCCCCTGTAGGGGGACAGGCCCGATGTAGCCCTGGGGCCCGGGGGGCGGGCCCTGGAGGCCCGATACCCGGGGAGAGAACGATAGGCTCCCCGCCGCAGAGATCCGTCGCCCCCGCCGACCTCGCGAGGCCATGCTCGCCCTGGCCGCCTCGCGGCTGGGCGCCGCGCCGCCGCCGGCCGCCGCCCGAGCTGCCGCGGGGGGGCTTCTCGCGCGCGGGGCGGCCCGTCCCCGCCCCCCCGCCCTCCTCCTCCTCCTCCTCCTCCTCCTCCTCCTCCTCCTCCTCCTCCTCCTCCTCCTCTCCTCCTCCTCCTCCTCCTCCTCCTCCTCCCCCCTCCTCAACGAAGAATGTCTTCGTCGTCCTCAACCGTAGCAACCCACAGATGGGGTGGATTCTACCCCAAGCTTGCAGAAAACGACGGACACAGCGCCAACGAGCGCAGATGCTTGAATCAACTCCCCTCTTTGTGGCCATAGGGCGTACAGGCTCGGGGGGGGGGGGCATCGACTTCCAGTCGCCCTTTTTTCATCGCCGGTGGGGACCCGACAGCCTGCTCCCCGCGCAGGAGCGTGTGCGGGTGCGCCATCGGGGGCACGTCGCCGAGGCATCGGCGACGTATCGCGGATTCCAGGTCGATGTTTCTCCGCCCCCCCCCCCCCCCCCGAGGCGGTTCCCCCTGTACGTGCACCCTCACCCGCGCAGGGCGGCCTGGGCCTCGAGGGTTTTATTGTGTCGGGTCGAGGTTCTTCCTCCTCCCTCCTCCTCCCTTCTCCTCTCTCCTCTCTCCCTCTTGTTCCCTCCTTGTCCTCCTCCCCTTCCTATTCCCTCCTCCTTCTCCCTCCTCCATCACCCCTCGTCCTTCTCCTCCCGCTCCCTCCGAGGGCCGTCATTGCCCCCCCCCCTCCTTCTCTTTTTCTCCCTCCTCCCTCCGCGCCCGAGCCCAGCCCTCCTTTGGAGCAAGGTTTTCGCATCGAAGTCGTCGTCGTCGCCGTCGTCGCCGTCGTCCTCGTCCTCGTCCTCGTCCTCGTCTTAGACGTCGTTGTCGCCGCCGTCGTCACTGTCGTGGGTGCAGGGAAGGGCCGGTGCTCGAAGGCCCCCTGAGCTGGCCGTCCACCGCCGCCGTCGTTCGTCGTCGTTCGTCGTTCGGCGCCGCCGTGAACTATAGGCCTCGAGGGTCGAGGTGTTCGGGCGCTTCTTGGGGAGGAGGAGGAGGAGGAGGAGGAGGAGGAGGAGGAGGAGGAGGAGGAGGAGGAGGAGGAGGAGGCCTCGAGCTTTCTGGTCAGAGCGCCCCCCTGGGCAGGTCTCGATGTTTGGCGAGAGTGGGCCCCTCTCCCCCCCCTGCCGTGCTGGAGGACGTCTTGGGGCGGGCCGCTCCCCCGCGGTGCCCCCCCGGCCATCCCAGCCGGACTCCGCAGCGCCGCTGCCGCTGGAGTCCTTCCGCACGCTCTTCCTCGGGCTGGGCCTGCGCGTGGCCCGCGACGGCCGCGTGTGGTGACCGGGGGGGGGGCGGCAGCCCGCGCGCAGCCCGGCAGCGGGGAACAGCTGGGCCGGCGCCTCGCCTGCTCCTCGCCCCCGCTCCCGCGGGCCGTTTGCTGGGCGTCGGAAGTCGCCCTCTGGGTCCGCGGCCCGTGCGCGACGGCCGCGCCGCGGGGCGGCAGGGAGCCCCGCGCGCGGACGCGTCGGGCTCCTCGATCGCCATCGCTCCCGCGGACCATCTGCCGGAAGTCAGAGGTCGATGCCACCCACGATCGCGGCGCTGTTTGTCACCACCGCCCACCATATCACCCCAACCCAACCCGAAGGCCCCATTTGCCCTGGGTCGGGGAGCACAGAAACAAAACACACATATTGTCTCGGCAAAGCAACCTAACAGCGATGTGTAGGAGCATATCTGGACGCATTCCCCTTAAGATTCAGATGAGAATCCAGTTGTAGAATTCTGCTGTTCTGGCAGTCGCAGTCGCATTCGCGATGACAGTCGCAGTGGCAACGGCAGTCGCAGTCACAGCCTCTGCCTCAGCCTCAGCCTGCCTCAGCCTCAGCCTCAGCCTGCCTCAGCCTCAGCATCAGCCTGCATCAGCCTCAGCCTCAGTCTGCCTTCAGCCTCGGCCTCAGCCTCAGCCTGCCTCAGCCTCACCCTGCCTCAGCCTCAGCCTCAGCCTCAGCCTGCCTCAGCATCAGCCTGCCTCAGCCTCAGCCTCAGCCTGCCTCAGCCTCAGCCTCAGCCTGCTTCAGCCTCAGCCTCAGTCTGCCTTCGGCCTCGGCCTCAGCCTCAGCCTGCCTCAGCCTCAGCCTGCATCAGCCTGAGCCTCAGCCTCAGCCTGCCTCAGCATCAGCCTGCATCAGCCTCAGCCTCAGCCTCAGCCTCAGCCTCAGCCTGCCTCAGCCTCAGCCTCAGTCTTCCTTCAGCCTCGGCCTCAGCCTCAGCCCGCCTCAGCCTCAGCCTGCCTCAGCCTCAGCCTCAGCCTGCCTCAGCATTCAAAATGTGGCCCGGGAATGGAGTTCTGGGAACTCGAAGAACACGAAGTGGCCTGCAGTTGGCTCCGGGCATTCAAAATCATGCCCAGGAATGGAGTTCTGTGAATTCGAAGACCACGAAGTGGCCTACAGTTGGCTCCTGGCATTCAAAATCATGCCCAGGAATGGACTTCTGGGAACTCGAAGACCACGAAGTGGCTTACAGTCGGCTCCGGGCATTCAAAATGTGGCCCGGGAATGGAGTTCTGGGAACTCGAAGAGCACGAAGTGCCTATACGGTTGGCTCCGGGCATTCAAAATGTGGCCCGGGAATGGAGTTCTGGGACCTCGAAGAGCACGAAGTTGCCTACAGTTGGCTCCGGGCATTCAGAATGTGGCCCGGGAATGGAGTTCTGGGACCTCGAAGACCACGAAGTGTGTAACTGTTTGCTTAAAACGACTTCCGCGGATTCTCCCCGGATCCTGCCCAGACCCCCCTGGGGAGTCATGATGCTTTCTTTTTTTTGAGACCATGAGAAACCTATCAGTCTTCGCTGTTAGGTAATAAAGCCCTTACCCTCCCCCCCCAGGCCCTACCCCGAAATTCAGGCCTTCGGTATGGTCTGGTAGGTCGTCAGTCTGCTTCGGGCAGCAGGCGTTTCTCCCTGGATCCACGGGCTCATCTTTTCTCCTCCTCCTCCACGGCGTCTTCTCCTCAGCCTTGCTGTCTGCCCCATCCGCCGCGCTCGTCCGTCGTCTGTCCGCCCGGGCCTCCGGAGACCCTCGGAGGCCGCCGGAGGCCCCGAGTGAGGGGCGGGGCCTCCGAAGGCCTCCTTTGGCCGCTTGGCCCAGAATTCGCTGCGCGTCCGCCACCAGCCCCCCCTGTCTGACCTCTGAGACCCGCCTCCGCGGCGGGCCCCCTCTGCCTCCCGCCCGGGCCTCGCGCTCTGAGCGGCCGCGCGTGTGTGTGCCGTGTGCATGCAGGGCGCCCGGCGCGGCACCTCCGGAGCCTTCTTGGGCGCTGCGTAATGGGGGGGTCATACATGGGGGGGGGGGCGAGCGTGGTTCGAAAAGGTACCCAAACGGTACCTAAACGAGCCCCCTGGGGCTCTGGAGGGGCCCGAAAGGGGCACGAAAGGGGACCTTTTCTGACCCCCCCATTTGTGACCCCCCCATCAAGCCACGCCCAACCTTCGGGTTGTTGCCCCCCGGGGCTGCCCGCAGGTGGCTGAGCCCGAACGTCATCTCGTACAACGCCACCATCAGCGCCTGCGAGCGGGGTCAGCAGTGGCCGCCGGGGGGAGGGGGCCGCTCCTGCCCGCCGTGCGCAGGCCAGGGGCGCGGAGAGGGGAGGAGCAGGAGGAGGGGCATGGCAGACACCACGACTCTTTGCTCCTCTCCCGCTCCTCCTCCTCCTCCTCCTCCCGCATTCTTCTCCCCGTCGCCTCTCCTCCCCCCCTCCCTCAGCTCCGTCTCCCCCGCCTCCCCCTCCCCTCCCCCCCTCTTCTCTCCACCTCTGGAGCTTTTCTCCACAATCGCACAGCATGGGTGCTACTCCCTCTTTCCTGGTAGTGTGTTCCGCGGCGCACAGCTTCTGCATGTTGTTTTTCACGTTCAGGTTTTCGAGCATTTGTTGATTTGCCGACGTGTTTTCTGAATATGGTCGTTCTCCGTCCTTCGTGCTCTCGATGCAGTGTTGGCCACGTTTTCAAATTACCATGGCGCGTCCGTCCGCGGCTGTGACACCATCGCCGCAGCGTTGGTTATCGCCGTATTCGCCATCCGCCCGCTCTCCATCCCTCAGTTCGTGCTCCTCTTTCTCTTCTTTCCCTCCGCTCATGGTCATTCCTCTCGTAGTCCAGGCATGGCCCTTCGCTTTCGTCGTCGCCGTCCAGAAGGTCGACTGGTTTGACGTCACCTATTTGCCCCGCAGGGGAGGACGGTCGGTAACTCAGGCTCAGCGTGTCGCTCCGCCGGTTCTGGCCCACCACGTTTCGGCGTGGCACGTTATCCATTTCTCAGCCCCCAGGCTCCAACCGCCCGAGCATTCTCGAGCCTCCGGGACTCCCGCCCCGCGGAGCAACGGGCCCTCACCGCACCATTGGATGGCCGTGAGCCCCCCAGCCGCCCCGGTGGCCAGCGCGGCGGTCCAGAACGATCTCGCTCGAGGGCTCGGCCGCGCGCGCCCGCTTCGCCACTCTGACCTGCTCCGCCTCATCGCCGCACGCACGGCCGCCGCCGCCCAGAAGCGTACCGGAGAGCCAAGTTGGCGGGAGGCCCCGCGCCCTGCAGCTGCTCGAGGAGGCCGCTCGGCGCCAGGAGGGGACGGGCGCCTCCTGCCCCCTCGTCCTCGTCGTTTGGGGGGAGGGGGGGAAGGGCACGGAGCAGCAGTCCGCGACGCGCTCGCGTCGCGGCCGACGATCACGACGGCAGGCTTCTTGTCGCTGTGGGCTTCTTGTCGCTGGAGGCCCTGGGACCGCCCCCAAAAACCATTCGGGAAGCGAATCCGAACCCTGGGACAGGGCCTTGGCTCCTAGGGGCCCCGCACGAATGAAGCCAGGGCACCGCATGCCTGGGACGAGAGATCATCCGTGACCTGCCGCCGTTGGGAGCTTTCTTTCTTTTTTGTCGAGCCGGCTCGGTCGACTTGCGTGGCAGGGGGCGCCCAGAGGTGGCGCCGGACCCAAGCGGGCACCCGGGGGAGCTGCGCCAGGGGCGCAACATCTGCCACTCTACGGGAGCACGCCAGCGCGCAGCATTCCTCCGCGTTTGTCCCGAAGCCTGGTGTCAAAAGGGGAAGAAACACACAGACAAATTAATCGCCGATCCCCAGGAAAATATGGGAAAATATGGGAAGTGGGGGGGGAGACAAAAACCCAGAAAATATGGAAACAGATTGGGAATCCATCCTGTTATTTGTGTCTATTTATTTGTGTGTGTCCCAGGGCCCCTTCAATCATTCTTCCGCTTTTGTCCTGAAGCCTGGTGTTCCTTCCACACCAGCGCGCGGATGGGCTCCCCCCAGCGGCGTGTCGTTGGTGTTGGTTTTTCTCTCCCCCAGTCGTTGCCAGACTTCCTCGACGGGAAATTTCACGACGGGGTGGTTTCCAGCATCTTCGGCTTCCAGGGCCGCTTCAAGAGAGGCGACCGGTCCCCAGGATGGGGCCCAGGCCTGTGGGGAGCCGCGCTGTGAAAAAGTACGACGTCGGATGTCGGGCCCCTCCTCTTCATCTCTCCGTCCACACGTGCTCGCCCTTCCTCGTGTCCATCCTTCTTCTCCGAGCCTCTGTGCATGCTTCTTCCCATCAGGGTGAATCACAGGCACTCGAGCAATCGCTCTTGCGAGATGTTACTGCTGTGATCCTCATCTTTCTGTCCATCTGCCATGTGCCCGCTCCTGCTCCTTCCCCTTCTCTTCCGACCGTTTGTTTCCATGTGCCCGTGCGCGCTCCTCTTCCTTCTCACCTTCCCTCCTCCATCCTGTTAGGGGGGGCGGGGGGGAGGGGGAGGAGGAGGAGGAGGGGGAGGAGGAGGAGGAGGAGGAGGAGGAGGAGGAGGAGGGCGAGGCTCATCTTCCTCAACCCCTGCCTGTTCCTTGCAGATCCCTGTTGACCCCCCAGACGTGTCGGTTGTGAGGGTTGGACGTTTCGCCCCCTACGCCCCTACGATGTCTGATCCTCAAGCTTGAAGTTCCCAACCGTTATGCGGATGGAGTAAGAGGAGGAGGAGGAGGAGGAGGAGGAGGAGGAGGAGGAGGAGGAGGAGGAGGAGGAGGAGGAGGAGGGAGGAGGGAGGAGGAGGAGGAGGATTGGGGTCGTTGTCGGAATGGGGTTCTCGCATCCGCGCGCGCGAACCTTCTGCATATCAACATCTGCAGCGTACGCCCGATTGGAGCACAGGTCGCCTTCAGAGTGGGGGCTCTCGCCCGAGCGCTGGCTGCGCACGCTCGTCTCCAAAAAAGGTTGGGAGCGGTTTTACAAGAAGGTATAGCACAGGTCGTCTGGTTCTCGGAGTGTGGCGCTCGCACTCTCGCCCTGTGCTGATCCCTCTCAGAGTTTGCCGTATTTCCACGGGTGGGGAGCCCATGCCATTTTTTTAAACATGGGCTTTCGCCTCAGCGCCGCACAGCGCGCATTCGCTTTATACACGTATGCAACAGTTGCAGGGCGCTCTTCTTCCGTCCTTCCTCCTTCTGCCTCCTGCGTGTGTTGTCTTCCTCTTCCTCCTGCTTCTATTTCGCTACCCGCTCCTCTTTTTCCGCTCGTTCCTCCTAATTCCTCTTTCGCAGGAGCAGAAGCACGCGGAGAGCGGAAGCGATGCTGCTCAACTATGGCGTATCAGATGCGCTGCGTATACTCACTAGATAAAATTGCTTGGCCGTTGTCGAATGTTGTGGCTCACCACCTCCCGAAACGTCGGACACAGAGCACTCAGTTTAGACGGGCATGATGCCGTCGTTTGCGAAATCAACGCCCGTCTCATGTCGGTGACAAGATGACAAAGCCTGCCCCCCTTCCGCCGGCATTTCAAGGTTGACGAGGAGGCCGTGCCCCCTCGCAGAAGTGGGCGTTTATTTCGCAACATGTCGCGCTACCCTTTGGCGCATTCGTTGGCCAACATCGAAATACGGGGCGCGGGGGCGGGGCGCTCTGTACTAGTGGGCGTTCATTTCGCAAACGGCGGTGTCGTTGTCGTTTCAATTCATACCTCATCTCGGGTCGACATCTGATTGGCCAGGGGCCCGACGACGATCCTTGGAGGCAAACGTTGACGAAATCGCCGGGATCCCCAACCAGAAGCCTTTATTGAATCGCTTCGCTCATTCCGCCGGCCCTTATTGTCGCACCTCTGTCGATTCGGGGGTGTATTCCTGAGGGGGTCGCAGTGACTGCGGATGTGGTTTCGGGGGTTCGTCGCAGATTCTGGCGGGGTTGTTCCGGGGCAGTCGTGGGTGATCACGGGTCTGGTCGGTGATTTATTTGCTTGTGTCGGCAAGGGGTTGATGATTCTGGATGGTCGCTGTGGGGCCATGTCGCAGATCGGAGGTATTCGTCGCAAGTTTGAGCCTTTCCGTCTTGGAGGGTGGCGGGTTGTGAATGCGACCGCAGGAAGAGGATGAGGAGGATGAGGAGGATGAGGAGGAGGAGGAGGAAGAGGAGGAGGAGGAGGGGGAAGGAGGAGGAGGAAGAAGAGGATGAGGCGCAGGAGGAGATGAAGCCTCTTGGACCGTCTTGGCTGTCTATTGGGCCGCCTTGAGGCCCCATGTTGGGAGGCCTGGGGCGATGCTGGGTGCTCTTCGGCCCCTCTTGGGACCGTTTCGGGTCGTTCTTGGGCCCGTGTGGCCGCCTCTTGGGCCATCTCGGGAGCCGTCTTGGGCCATCGTGGGGCTGTGTTGGGGCGGTCCTGGAGGCTCATTGGGCTTCCTTGGGGCGTGGGAAAGCCGAAAAGGCGAGAAGGCTGAAAACCTCCAGCAACCTGGTGAAAGTCAATGATTTCCGCCTCTGGGACGCCTCTTGGAAGCCTTGAGGGGCGTGTTGGGGGCATCGAGGGCCATCGTGAGACCATTTTGGGCCGCTATGGGACGCTGTTGGCGTCTGGCCGTAGGGCATGCTACCTATTTGTGGACTCATTGGGCCACTCCTGGACGGTTCCAGAGGCTCCAAGGCCCGCGCTCAAGAGATTTGGCATCTCGAACGGGGATGTGCCAGGAGTTGATTGGGGTACTTTCCGCTCTGTGACCCCCAGGGGCCGCCACGCGCGCTTCCTCGCCGAGGCCGTTTTGGACGCTCCGACGACCCGAGAAACGCCCCTTCCAGGTCCAGGGGAGGGGGAAGGGGGAGGGGTCAAGACCCCCTCCCCGCCCGCAAGCCGTCTCGCGCACTCCCACGCGCCCTCCCAACACATACGTAGCACCCGAGCCTGGCCCGAGCCGCAGCATATACAGCAGTCGTCTGTGGATGGGCAGCTACTGGGGGCGAATCCGCCGCCGCCGCCGCCTCCGCCGCCGCCGCCGCCGCCCGCCGCCGCCGCCGCCGCCGCCGCCGCCGCCGCCGCCCCCGCCGCCGCCGCCGCCACCGCCGCCGCCACCGCCGCAGCCGCCGCAGCCGCTGCCCCCGCCGCAGCCGCCGCAGCCGCCGCCGCCGCCGCCAAGTGTACTCTGCATCGTTTTTTGATAGGGATGGTGGGGGGAGGCTGCATCGGGTTCGCTGCGCATGCTCCGAATTTGGAGGCAGAATGCGGTTTGCATTGTTTTTGACAAGGGATGGTGGGGGGAGGGGGGGCCGCATGGTTTCGTGTTGGCTCCCAGTCGCCTGAGGGAGGGGGTGTAGGTTAATAGGGAACAATGATAAACCACTCCCCGAAGGGGAAAAAGGGGGTGGAAGAGGACACATCCTAAACCACCTACGCCCTATACCACCACCTACGCCCTAAAGGATTCGTGTTCCTCCGATGGGGCTCCTCTTAGGGCTGTCTTGGGCTGTCCAGAGGGCCTCGTGGGCCGTCTTGGGGCCCTCTTGGGCCGTGTGGGGCCCATGTTGGGAGTGTGTTGGGCCGTCTTGGGGCGATCTTGAAGGTCTCGTGGGCATTATTGGACGCGCTGGACCTCGAAACGTCGCCTATGCGCAAAATAGACGTGTTCTGAAGGGAATGGAATGGAGCACTTTTTGTTCGTTGAGACTCTGTAGGAGAGCCTCTTGAGGCTCTCTTGCTTGGGGCTTCTTGGCGGCGTCTTGGGCCGTCTGGCGGCGACCGAGGGCCCCTCGGACTGCCTGGAGCGTCACGGGGCTCTCCTGGAGCGTTCCTGGGACGTTCAGGAAAGCCTTGAAGGCAGCGCCGAGGAGGAAAACCATCTCTGGGCGTCACCTGGCCAGGACCTGTCCAGGTTCTTCTCGTTCGCGGGCCCCCAGGGGCCGCCCCACGCGGGCGAACTAGAAAATTGTAACCAGTTACCAGGGTTCTTAGCACGCCTCTGGCCCGTTGGGCCGGCGAATTTTGGGAATCCTTTGCGAGCACTAGCGCCTTTGGGGCTTGACGGCCGTAGCATGCAGTCGTCGTTCGTCCAAGACGAGGCGGGATCCCCAGGGAGCACCGGCACACTTTGGGCCTGGCGGCCGTGGTACGCAGGGTGTGCGAGGCGGGCCAGGAGGTCTCTTCTTTCAAAAAGACAACCCCAACCTGTCGGGTGGGGACACTGAGAAGCAACAAGTGCCGAGAAGTTTGGGCGCCCCCCCCCCCCCCCTCCATGCGGCTGGTGAGGCCGCCGACGTGGTGACCTACAACGCCGCCATCAGCGCCTGCGAGAAGGGGGCGCGGTGGGGCCTCGCGCTGGCGCTGCTGGCGCGGCTGCGGCGGAGCGGTGCCCAGCGCCGACTCCCCCCTCCTGCCTCTTCCCCGAGCCCCTGGCCCTCCCGGGGTGTGCTTCCATCCAGGCCTCCCGCATGGGGCTGGAGTGCGGTCGGGAACTCTGGCCTGGCGGCTCGAGGCGCGGCCGGGGCCGCCGTATTTGGCCGATGTCCCCCCCTCGCCTCTCCTCCTCCCCCTCCCCTCCCCCTCTTCTCTGGCGTTTTCGCCAGGGGGGCCCGCTTGCGCTTGTAAAAGGGTGTCGCCGCGCCGGTGCTGGCCCACCGCGCTCCGGCGCGGCACGCTGTCCACGTCTTGGCCCCGGGTCGTCAACATCCCAAGCTTTCCCCGGCGTGCCGCCCCGCGGAGTGGAGCGGAGCGCTATCCGCTCTCAGGTCGCCGGGGCCGCCGCGGCGGCACGCTGAGCAAAAGGTCCTGGCCGCAGATGGCGTCGGGAGACGGCGCCGCCTCGCCGAGGCATCGGCGACGCGGCGTGCTGGAGCCCGATCGCCCGATCTCCTGCATGCCGACGTCATCGATGCATCGCCGACGTTGCTGGTGCACCGAGGATGCATTCAAGTTGGGGCGCGATCCGGCCCCCTCTGCGCGGATCCCAATGAGGCGTCCATTCCCAATCCACCCCTCTGCCTTTTCCCTGCTGTCCACCCCTGCGCTTTTTCTCTCGCGGGGGCCCGAGGATCAGGGGCAGCCTGACCGACCCCGAGTCAACCATCCCCTTAAGTGACGTCCTCCTTCCCTCGTCCCAAGGCGCATGCATGCGGCCGGAGGGGAGCTCGAAAGGCGAGGATGACGTCACGAAAGTGGATGGTTTGCTAGGGGTCGGTTAGGTGGCGCCCGAAAAGAAGATCGCGCGCGCACGAGAGGAGGCGAAGAGGCATCGCCTCACAGAAGCTCTCGAGCGTGCGTGCGGATTTCTCGGGTCGGCGCTGGGCCTTTTGCTTCGCCCCTCTTCGGGCGGCACTTTCGAGGTGGCGCCCCATTTCGGCACACCCCTCTCACGTTTCGTGGCCCCACAGGGAACTCCACTCAAGGTCCCAGTGGCGCCGTCCGCATGGCGGCGCCGCCCAATTTCGGCACACCCGTCATGCGTTTCGTGTCCCATAGAGAGCTCCACCTACGGTCCCAGTGGCACCGTGCGCATGTCGGCGCGCCCCTCACACGTTTCGTGGCCCCATTTGGGGGCTCCATCTAAGGTCCCAGTGGCGCCGTCCGCATGGCGGCGCCGCCCCATGTCGGCACACCCCTCACACGCTTCGTGGCCCCATAGGGAGCTCCATCTAGGGTCCCAGCGGCGCAGTTCGCATGGCGGCGCCGTCCCATGTCGGCACACCCCTCACACGCTTCGTGTCCCAATAAGGAGCTCCACCTACGGTCCCAGTGGCGCCGTCCGCATGGCGGCGCCGCCCCATTTCGGCATTCCCCTCACACGTTTCGTGGCCTCATAGGCAGCTCCACCCAAGGTCCAGTGGCGCCGTCCGCATGGCGGTGCCGCCCTATTTTGGCACACCCCTCACAAGTTTCGTGGCCCAATAAGGAGCTCTGGGGAAGGGGTGGCGAGGGGGGGGGGCCCGCGCCGACTCGAGAAATCCGCGCGGACCACCGCCAGCTTACGCATGTTTGTGACATTATTTTGCCTACTCAAGGGTAGCTCAACTATTTCGAAGGCCTGAAGGACGACGACGAAGACGAAGACAGCGACGATGCAAATATTAACAAAAACTACGGGAAATCTCTGATTGGGAGCCTCTTGGGAGCCTCTTGGGGTGGAAGGCTGGAAATGCCGTTTGGTGAATTCTCTCTCAAGAGTAGATTGGGGCCGTCTCGGGCCGTACTTATTTGGGGCCGTCTTGGACTGTTTTGGAGCGCTTTTGGCAGGCTCTTGGGTCGTCTTCGGGCGATTTGGGGGGCTTCCTTGGCCGTTTTGGAGCGTCGAAAAATATCGAACACCTTAACCAACCTCGTCCTGATGCTCTTCGGGAGGGGGGAAGACGAGGAGGAGGAGGAGGAGGAGGAGGAGGAGGACCGACTATCTTTATCGCCTGCTTCTCCTGCTCCTCCTCTTCCCCAGACCTCCGACGGACTGGGTGACGAGGAGTAGGGATACAAATGACGAGGGAGGGGGAGAATGAGGAGGGAGGAGGAAGGAGAAGGGAGGGAGGAGGTGAAGGGAGACAGGAGAAGGGGGGGAGAGAACTGGGAGGAGCAGCAGGAATTGGAGGGAGGAGGAGAGGGGGACGGAGGAGGTGAAGGGGAAGGGGGGCAATGAGGAAGGAGGGAAGACAATTACGAGGAGGAGGGGTGAGAAGCTGGATGGCGGAGGAGACGCCATGGATTCACCATCTACCAGGATGGGGGTTGTGTGCGGCCACCACGACAACGGGCAGCGCGGCAACCACTTTACTATGTAGACGCCGTCGGGCTGCCGCCGACGACGTCGCCGACGTGGGTCAGAGTCCTCAGGGATGCTTCTTGGGGTCTGGTCGAAACGCTCTTAGGGGCCTCGGGGGACAGGGTAGGGGTCTCTTGGGAGCCTCTTGGGGCCCTGTTGGGGCTTCCCGGGAGCCTCTCGGTAGCATGGGGTCTCTTCGGGGCTTCTTGGGGGCCTTTGGGGGGCCTCTTGGTTTCTCCTGGGAGCCCTCGGGGCGGAGGGCTCGAAATGTCTGTTTTGGTCCGTCGTCTCAGCACCGTCTCGGGGCCGTCTCGGGACCCTCTTGGGCCGTTTTGGTTCGCTCGTGGAGCCTTCTAGGGCTGTCTGGGGGCGATCTGGGAGGCCGCTTGGGCCGTCTTGGAGCGTGGGGAAGTGGGAGAGGCGAGAACGCCGAACTGATGAAAGAACGATTGGAAAATATACGAATTTGGTTTTTGAGGCACTCTTAGGACTGCTCCTGTAGGCTTCTTTGGGCCGTCGGAAGGCCGTCAAGGCGTCTTGGACAAATCGTTCGGCAATTCGGGGCGCTCGTGGACTTTTTGGGGAGTCTGTGGGGCACCTCTGGCCCGTCTTGAGGCTTTTTCTTTGGCCTGGGAGCCCCTAAATGGGGAAGCGTAACTGGCCTGGGGCGGCCCCGGGTCCGGACCTGGGGCCAGACCTGGGACCCCCCCCATCCCCTCCCGGCGGGGGCGGGATCCAAGGGAAGGGGCTTCTCTTCGAGTGTATGACGACGTTGCTCAATTTCGTTTGGCTGACGCGATTGGGGAGGAGAGCCCAGGAAAAGAGAGAGGAGCGGCGACGGGCACAGGAAAAAGGAAAGCGCAGGGAAAAAGGACAGAGACGACGATGAACGAATGACGGCGACAACGGCTCGAGCGGAGAAGCCCCTCACACGCGCCGACAGGGTCGGCGGCTCAAAGATTGTTGTTGGGGAGTCCTCCTCCGGCAATGTGCATCCGATGGCGTTGTAGACCAGCACGACCGCGCGTGCATTGCCTCTTGTGGTTCGCAGTGGTACTCAAAAAACGTATGGCGGGAAGCCAAGCTGGACTCCGGGCAGCTTGAGGGGCGCGAGGAGATTTTGGGCGCTGAGCCCCTTTTCGGAGCTCAATAGAGCTTCGATCTCGGGCTATAATTCTTGCGTGCGCGAGTGGCGTGCTCTGAAGTGCACTCTGCCCCTGGGCTCCCCGATGCGTTCGCAGCACTGCACCCAACATCTCCTTCCACCGCTGTCCATGCCTTTTGATGTCCGAGGTCGTGCGAGAGGGATCCTCGCGACGCGACCGACAGATGTGTGTACCGCGGCAGCCCTCGCCCCCGAGGCCGCCGCAATTGCCACGGGCTGCATACCACCGGAGGGCAGGTCGACAGGCGAGCGTCGTGTCCCTGTGAATGGCGTGACGAGCCGAATGTTTTGACAGTGTCTCAGGCCGGGCGTGGCCCAGGCCCAGGAGGAGGAGGAGGAGGAGGAGGAGGAGGAGGAGGAGGGATTGGGAGGTCTGGGGGAGTACGACTGGAATCTGCTGCGTGCAGTTGGCTTCGGCTGCGCCGCTGGGCCACCTCCTATAGATACATGGCCGCCTCCCGCGCCAGGATGCGCAGGGAAAGCCAGCCACGTGAGCTGAATCGCTGATTCCCCCCTCTCTATCTCCCCCCTCCTTTCGTCCGACCCGAGTGGCGCGTGCATGGAGCTGTGGGCAGACCGAGCTCTGCGACCGCCACCTCCCGATCACACGCGTCTGCTCTGCCTGCTGCGGGCGGGTGGCCTGGAGGGGCCTCGCCCAGGACCCGTTCGGCGTCGCATCCCGGACCGCTCTTGGAGTCCGCCCTTGCCCCTTGCCAGCTCCTCAGCCTCCCCTCCGCGGCCCATCCTTCTGACTCGGGCTCCCGACTTTCCGACTCCACTCCGCTCTCTCAAATCCCGGGCCCCAACTCTCCTCCAGCTCCCGGCCCCAACTCTCCGACTCCCGGCGTCCGCCCGGTGAGCGCCAGTGATGCCGCGTGTGCAGAGTTCCACCGGTCCAGGACCGTGGGCGCTCCCGCTCCACCCTGCAGCGCTTGCGCGGCGCATGACGTCAGGCGCTGCCTTACCCTCCTCGCCGCCTCCATGGTGCCGATGCGCCAGCGCGCCACCCAAGGGGGCCCCCCGCGCGGAGCGACCGCCTGCGCCGCGACAGCATGAGAGCAGGCACTCCTCGAGCTGCGTCCAGGCGTGGCCGCGAGGGACCCCTGGGAGGCCCCACCCCCAGAGAATCCGAGGACGTGGGCGAGAACTGCGGGCGCCTTCTGTCCGCATCAGGGCTCGAGCGAAACAGTGTTCCGGCGACATCGCGGACGGCGACATCGCGGACCGTTGTCGTTTTGATTTCTGTTTGCATCAAAGGCAGAAATCAAGCAGTGGCGAAGCGTCCCGGCTCGCCTATAGCCCCACCAAGCAATGTTCTAAGAACCTTTTGTGGTTCCCACGAAATGTTCTTAGAACATTTTTGGTTGGGGCTGTCGTGATTTAACACATCGGGTTCATGTTCTAAGAACAATGTATTTGTAGAACATATCTGGGTTCTAAGAAAATTTCGTGGTAGGACTATAGGAATGCCGGGACGGTCTGTCCATCCCCGAAGAAAGAAGACAGGGAGGGAGGAGCACGCCAACAAAACGAAGACAAAAAACACGGTTTAGCTCTCGAGCCAGGAGTGTGTCAGGAGGGGAAAAAAACACACTGACACAATTAATCTTCGACTCCCAGAAGATATGGGAAAATATGGGAAGTGGGGGGGAAGACGAAAACCCAGGAAATATTTGGAAAATATATAGGGAATCCTGTTATTTGTGTGTATTTATGTGTGTGTCCCAGGGCCCCTTCAGTGGGGGGAGTATGGAGGAGCAGGGACGGAGGAGGAATCCAGCCTCGAAGTGCGTCCAGGCCCCGCAGTCTCTGGTGCCAGACCCACACGTCTGGAGGGGGCGCACTGTTACAGTATGCCCCCACACACACACACCACAACAGGGGTCCTCTGTCCGCGTGGCTGTGTTACGGTAGGTTCGCGTCGTGTCGACCGGCGGCGACCCCGCCGCCGACGTTCAACGTTGAACGCCGACGGCGGCCCAGAATCGGTCGATGTTGAACGATCGGACGTTGCGGCAGCGGCCGATCGTTCAAGGTTGAACGATCCAGCGTGGTGTCAAAAACCAACGCCAGGGTCGACACGGCACGGACCTGCCGTACCAAACCTTGCTCCCAACTTCTGGGACGGCAAGGAGCACCAGCGCCGCACGCGTCGTCTTTGTCAAGCGGTGAGCGTTGCTCCTTCGCTGGGCCGCAGTGCGGCGTAAAGCTCCCCACGATCTGAGCGCATGGCCCTGTTTCAGCCCCCTTCCCCCTCCGCGGTCGCTTTCCCTTGGTGCCACTTGGCCAATGCGCAACCCTTCTAGGCAAACCCGCGCCTGGCGAGCGCCCGGGCCGCGACCAACAGGTGGTATGTCTGCGCGCTTCTGTGCAGGAGCAGTGTCTCCCTTCAGCATCAGCACGCCGAGGGGGTCGTTCGGCCGGCGTGACTCCGATACTGTGGGGCATCTACCGAGGGGTGGGGGTGATTCACCTTCCGACGGAGCTTGCCCAATCCCGCCCCCTTGCATCCTCCTCCCCCTCCTCGTCCTCCTCTTCCTCCAGCCCCACTCCACTCGTGCCGACGGCTCGTGCCCAACCCCCCCAGAGGATTCAAGGGGTGGCGACTGTTGTCCCAGAGTACAGAGCCGTTGTTCATACATGCTCCGCGTGCGGATCATGTTTTCAACATGCAGGGGTTCAGTGTTAGAAACAACGAGGAGTCCATGCGTACAGGTATTCATGAATTAACCATGTATTCAAAATCCTATATGTTTTTAAATCCAATGTATTAAAAACCTGCCCTGTATGTTCTGTCTGGTCCCCTGCAGGTGCCCAGCCCAGCAGGATCACCTGCAACGCGGCGGTGGCCGCGTGCGGCGGCGGCGGGGAGTGGGAGCACGCCCTGGCGCTGCTGGCCGACCTGCGGCAGCGGGCTCTGGTTGGGGGAGCTCGTCGGGCAGGAGGAGGAGGAGGAGGAGGAGGAGGAGGAGGAGGAGGAGGAGAGAAGCCGTGAGGAGGAGGAGGAGGAGGAGGAGGAGGAGGAGGAGGAGGAGGAGGAACAGCCGACAGACGATGACTGGCCAGGACACTGGAACGCACGAGCCATGAAGCGGCGGAGCAGGATGAAACTCCTGCGCCCTCTTCCGTAATAATCCTTCTCGGTGTCCTTCAGCATCCATGGTCTTTCCTGTCCTGCCCTCCCCCCCCCGTCCGCTCCTGCTCCTCCATCCTCGTCCTCCTTTTCCTGCCACGAACAAGTGCGGCGGGAGCACTGGCGGGCGTGCCCCGCCGAGTCATCGTCGCCGTGGTCGTCATGATCATCGTCGCTTCGGGGGTTCCTGGGCGTTCCTGGAGGTCTTCGTCGCCACGGCTGGCCAGATGGTCCTCGGGAGCGGATTCTAGTTTCTGTGGACTTGGGCCTCCCGAGGCCCGTCCAGGCTTTGTAGCCATCGAACAAAAGCTCGCGGCGAAAGGCTGTCCCAGAGGCGGTGTCGAGATTTCTGGGGCCTGCGTGCTGGCCAACACCACGGCGTCGAAGGTCTGGGCGCGTGGCCAGCGCGAGCGCGAAACCGGCGATCTGAGCCGGGACGGCGGCCGCCGCTGAAGCGGAGGCGCGATCCCTGAGCGGGGAGCCCGGCCAGCGACCAAACGAGAGCGCCAATCGGGGTTGGGAGAGTGGCTCTGGCGCTGAGGCGGTAGCACTCCTCCGGGCCACTGTGGCCGCTGCTGGGGCGGGAGGAGCAGATGGCCAGCTCTGGGACCGGATGGCCATGCCCCGCCCGCGGATAGCGACGGGGATCCTCGGCAGTCGTGGTGACCGGTGTTGGCGCACGCCTGGGCGCGGGCGCAGCAGGAGCCTCCTGAAAGGAAAGGTCAGTTGACGTTCGCGAGCCTCGGGTCCATCTTCGGATCAACCTGAGGTTCAAGACAGCAGTGCCAACCGCTCGTCGCGCGGGTGGCCGCGACGATCGGCTGCTCGGAGCAGGCTCTGTCGATAGCTCTCCCTCTTGCTGCACCCCGCCGGGGGGGGTGCGCACCTGCCAGGCCCGACGCTCTCAGGCCGAACGCCATCACGTGCAACGCGGCCATCTCCGCCTGCAGCCGCAGTTTGAGGCGGCGCCCGTCTTCGCCGCGTGCCGAAGAGGGGGTATCGAAGGGTGGGGCAGCCTTCGAGAGAGGGCGGTCGAGGCCTCAGATCAGGGGCTGCGGTCGGGATCGATGGGCTGCGGAGGGGGGTGCATCGGCCCCAATCGCCTGTTGATCGCCGACAGGGGTCTGAATAGCCCACCCCGCCCAGGAGGGGGGCGGATCGCCTAGCTGTCGGGGGGCGCATCGCTTAGCTGTCGGGGGGCGCATCGCCTAGCTGTCGGGGCGGACTCGCTGTCGGAGGGCGCATCGCCTAGCTGTCGGCGAAGTGTCGCCGATGGTTGGGCGATGCGCCCCCGACATAGAGTCCGAACTGAGCTGGTACCCCCCTTATCGTTCCTCTCGGGGAAACGTAAGACCCGAGTAAGCCAGAACGCGGGTTTGCCACCTTTTTTTGTAGACGAGCAAGTCATGGATTCTGACGGACGAGTTTTCGTGGGACGCTTGCAGCAGGAGCACGCGTCAGATTTCAGATTGGGTCTCGCCCTTTTTATGATGGTCCCGTCAGGCCACCCCGAGTCTCCCGTAGCCGAGTCTTACGTCTTCCCGATCCACCACGTCAGAAGGGATGGGAGGGATCCAGAAAGTCGCCTTCTGAGCGTTTGGGCCCTTCTTCCGAGAAGCACCTTACCTTCTCCGACCGCCGCCCCCCTCGTCGCGTGTTTGCTTGTTTCGTGCCCCTCCCTGCCGTCGACACACAGATTGCCGCCGTGCTCGGAGATTGAAGAGACAGGGCCGCATTCGTTGCAAGCCGTGCTCCCTATAGTGTGTACCGGCACGTTCTCAGAGGGCAATCTCGACCCTTGGGGAGCTGTCATGGTGCGCCGCGTGCGTCCCCGCCGGACCGCTGGAAGCACTGTGGCGTGGAGGCGCTGGCACACTACGAGGTGTGTCATGTAGACTCCGAGTGCGAGGGATACCGCACGCCGACACATACCAAAGTCTCTGGGGCATAATTAAGCGTGCACATTCGGCGTTGAAAGGCACACAGGATGTGTCGATCGAGCTCTCCCGCACGAGCTTGGTGGGGCTTTCTTGGAGGCCGCGTGGGACGCAGCTCCAGGATGTGTGGCGTGATCGTAGCGTTGCATGGCTGTTGATTTTCCGTTTTTGCGATGCTCATCTGCGGCATCTTTGAGGCCTCAGGGGGGTGTGTCTCGGGGCACTCTTGGGTGCCGAGTTCTGGGCTTTGGAGGGCCCCTTGGAGCCTTGTTGACAGGTTGGGGCCAGCACAGAAGAGGCCGATAGCGTAGGTCCTTTCAGGCGAAGGCCGCTGGTGAGCTGACCTGGCTTCCGACGATAACTTCGCGGTGGATCCTGTTCGATAGTGATTCCAGCCGGCTCGATCCAAGTCTATTTCGTTTTCCCAGCGAAGTGTCGTAGTCCGATGTTGGCATGGCGTTGTTATGCATCTTGGCGCGGCCGATACGATCTGGTTCTATCTGATTCCATGCCGGCGCAGCCCCATTCGATGGAGGTTTCGATCCCATCCGATTTCGCGAGTCGGTGTAGCCGCCGCCTCCAGTGTAGCTAGCACCGCCCACCCTTCCCAAAGATCTGGACCCAGGGGGTGTCCCATGGGATCCAAAAGGGCCACGTGGGGAAGATTCTCGCACACGCAGGCGCGCGAGAGATCTGCCGCGCGCGTAGAATCTGAAACTTGACCGACCTCAGATCTCCGACGTCGTCTTTTTTTCACGACGTGGGCCCCTGGAGGTATGGACCTCACGATGGCTCGTTCTGCTGACGGTCCCGAGGCCCCGCAAGGCCCCCCAGAGGGCGAAAGCTGCCGAAGGCCTTCTGCCGTGGTTTCTTCGCAGCGCGAGGAGGTGCGGGCTTTTCAACGCCCTTCCCCTCCCTCGCCCTCCTGTCTTGGTCCGTTCGCTACGAGCTGGATCCAGCTCGCAGCGGGCGGGGAACTCCCCGGCCTGGCCCCTGCAGGTGGCCGGCGTGCGTGTCGCTGCTCGCCGGCATGAGGGCCCGGCACGCCGAGGTGAACACGGTGAGCTGCAGCAGCGCCGCGGCCAGCTGCGAGGGCGGCGGCCAGAACAGGCACCTGCTCAGGAGGAGGAGGAGGAGGAGGAGGAGGAGGAGGAGGAGGACGAGGAGGAGGACGAGGAGGAGGAGGAGAGGACGAGGAGAGGAGGAGGCGGGAGGAGGAGGAGGAGGCTGAGGAGGAGGAGGGGAGGAGGGAGGAGGGAGGAGGGCAGAGGAGGGGGAGGGAGGAGGGGGAGGAGGAGGGAGGAGGAGGAGGACGAGGAGGACGAGGAGGAGGAGGACGAGGAGGAGGAGCAGGAGGAGGAGGAGGAGCAGGAGGAGGAGGAGGAGGAGGAGGAGGCAGAGGAGGAGGAGGAGGAGGAGGAGGAGGAGGAAGAGGACGCGGTACAGTCGAAACCAGCTTTGGGGTGGATCATGTGCGCAAGGGCACACTGCATCTCTCCATTCTGGCAAGCCTGGGCACGTTTTCGGCTTCGCCTGTCCGAGGGTACCCGTGCGGGCGCCCGCATGCTTGGCTATCGGCGAGTTCCAAGGGTCTTGCATTCTTGAAACGCCGCTACCATTCCCTCGTTTTCGCTTCTGCGGGCCTCCAGGAAAGCCCTCGTCGCCACGGCTGGCTTCGCCTCGAAGTTCTGGTCAGAGCGCACACCTGGAGAGATTCAGGGATTGGCGGTATCGGTATCTTCTGTGTTCTCGATTGCCGGGGAGAGGCAGAGAGCATGGGCGTCAGGCGCTCGGCTGTGGGGGGGGGGGGAGGGCAAGCGCTAAAAGCGCTCAGCCGGCAACTAAAAAATGCCGCTTGAGGCGCAAACAGTGCTGGAAAGGCGCACGTCTCGTCCCTCGCTTGCTTCAAAGAAGGTCAACGCGCAGGAGGGAATCCATCGTTCGTGTGATGGGGCACTCCTTGGACTTGCTGCGGGCCGCACTGCGCAGATTCGATGTCATGCAGTGTGTGTGTGTGTGTGTGTGTGAGAGTGTGTGTGTGTGTGTGTGTGTGTGTGTGTGTGTGTGTGTGTGTGCGCGTGCGGTTCCTGGAGTTCAGTTTTGCCACACGCTTCACACGGAAGCGAACACTTTTAGCAGGCATCCCCACAGCTGTCACCATTGGTTGGGCGTCCAGAGAGAGGGCAAGTCGATTGTGCGTTATTCTCCAAGGAACTATTCCTGTAAGCAAGTACGTATGTCCGATGTTCGCCCAGGTGTAGCGATTGACTTGGCAAAGCGGTGCTTGTCGAAGAGCGACCATGAAGGTGCACCCGAGCTTGTCAATACCTCGAAAGACGGCCAGCAGGATAAAGCCGATGGTCCATGAAGCGCGCGTGCCCTTGAAGCATATTCGGGGTCCTGGCCCGAAGTTACTCCTTACATCGTCACAGTCCCGCTGGGGTTCCTGGTGGGAAGCTGAGCCCCGAAGCCCCCCCCTCCACCTTGGTTGGGCCAACCATCTCTTTCGAGGAGATTACCCTACAAACAATCTGAATCGCTTGGGGCTCAACAGTGACTAGTTTCTGGGCCTTTCCTTGAATATGGTTCGGGGAACCTGTTCGTGGTTGAGGATCGCCGTGGCCAGAGGAGCCCTTCCGCTCCTCACGGGGTCCTAACTGAGCGTTCCTGGTGGCAGCACGATGACCTGCACCATCTCTCCAGGAGGTCGGCCTGGAAGTGGTAAGTACTGCTGCAGACCTGGGTCTTAACCCCCAGGTCCCCTCAGGAGATCCCTGGTGCCCGACCAGAGCCAAGAACGCCCGAACACCTACCCCGTCGACCCTCGAGTTAAGCCGGGCCTGTCCATCGACGGGAGGAATATTCAAAAATAGTGAAACATTACCCTGGCGACGTACCCAACCCTTGCGCAATGCGGGGCATACGTACATCAGGATTGCTACAACGGGGGCGATGACGTAACGTGGACGCATGTGATTCTGGGAGCAGCAATCGGAAGGCTCGCAGCCCCACGATCAAGATATGAGGGCGTCGTAGCGGTTACTAACGCAGCCCCCCACCCAGGGCGGCGAGGTCTCGCTCAGGTCTCCTCGGTGCCCCAGTCCGCAGGACCCACCAGCAGCCTTCGAAAGTGGTGACAGCGTCGCAGATCGCAGCCCCCCAGGGACGGCGAGGTCTCGCTCAGGTCCCCGCGGTGCCTCAGTCCGCAGGACCCACCAGCAGCCCTCGAAAATGGCGAGGGTGTCGCAGATCGCAGCCCCCCAGGGACGGCGAGGTCTCGCTCAGATCCCCGCGGTGCCTCAGTCCCCGGGACCCACCAGCAGCCCTCGAAAGCGGCGACAGCGTCGCAGATCGCAGCCCCCCAGGGACGGCGAGGTCTCGCTCAGATCCCCGCGGTGCCTCAGTCCGCAGCCCTCGAAAGTGGCGAGAGTGTCGCAAATTGCAGCCCCCCAGGGACGGCGAGGTCTCGCTCAGATCCCCGCGGCGCCTCAGTCCGCAGGACCCACCAGCAGCCGTCGAAAGTGGCGACAGTGTCGCAGATCGCAGCCCCCCAGGGACGGCGAGGTCTCGTTCAGATCCCCGCGGCGCCTCAGTCCGCAGGACACACCAGCAGCCCTCGAAAGTGGTAACAGCGTCGCAGATCGCAGCCCCCCAGGGACGGCGAGGTCTCGCTCAGACCCCCGCGGAGCCTCAGCCCGCAGGACCCACCAGCAGCCCTCGAACGTGGCGGCAGTGTCGCAGGTCGCAGCCCCCCAGGGACGGCGAGGTCTCGCTCAGATCCCCTCGGTGCCTCAGTCCGCAGGACCCACCAGCAACCTTCGAAAGTGGCGACAGTGTCGCAAATCGCAGCTCCCCAGGGACGGCGAGTTCTCGCTCAGATCCCCGCGGTGCCTCAGTCCGCAGGACCCACCAGCAGCACTCCAAAGCTGCGACGGCGTCGCAGATCGCAGCCCCCTGGGACGGCGAGGTCTCACTCAGGTCCCCGCGGCGCCTCAGTCCGCAGGACCCAGCCCTCGAAAGTGGCGACAGTGTCGCAGATCGCAGGCTCCCAGGGACGGCGAGGTCTCGCTCAGATCCCCGCGGCGCCCCAGTCCGCAGGACCCACCAGCAGCCCTCGAAAGTGGCGACCGTGTCGCAGATCGCAGCCCCCCAGGGACGGCGAGGTCTCGCTCAGATCCCCGCGGTGCTTCAGTCCGCAGGACCCACCAGCAACCTTCGAAAGTGGCGACAGCGTCGCAGATCGCAGCCCCCCAGGGACGGCGAGGTCTCGCTCAGATCCCCGCGGTGCCTCAGTCCGCAGGACCCACCAGCAGCCCTCGAAAGTGGCGACGACCCACCAGCAGCCCTCGAAAGTGGCGACAGCGTCGCAGATCGCAGCCCCCCAGGGACGGCGAGGTCTCTTTCAAATCCCTGCGGTGCTTCAGCCCACAGGACCCACCAGCAGCCTTCGAAAGTGGCGACAGCGTCGCAGATCGCAACCCCCCAGGGACGGCGAGTTCTCGCACAGATCCCCGCGGTGTCTCAGTCCGATGGACCCACCAGCAGCCCTCGAAAGTGGCGACAGCGTCGCAGATCGCAGCCCCCCAGGGACGGCGAGGTCTCGCTCAGATCCCCGCGGTGCCTCAGTCCCCGGGACCCACCAGTAGCCCTCGAAAGTGGCGAGAGTGTCGCAGATCGCAGCCCCCCACGGACGGCACACACACACACATACACACAAACACACACACACACATACACATACACATACACATACACACACGATGTACGCACAAGACAAGAGGAGACAAGACGGAAGCGGGACACGGGAGGCGGGAGAGGAGGAGAAGGACGCGAGGTTAGTGCTCTATTCAAAACGACTGCCCAACCAAGGAGGATTGGGAAATAGGCAGGGGACGATTGTTTGAATATGTTTGAGCATTTTGGGAATATGCTCTGATTTTTTTTACATTTGTTTCTCACCACATCCCCCCGCAGGGGGACATGTGCGACCTGACCCTCGAGAGTCGAGGGCAAAATTTGGCACCTGGGAGGAGGGACCCGGCTGGTTAACTGTGCGGCGCCCCATGGGCGGATCCCGCCCTGCGGCCCTGTGCTTGCGCGCGTCGGTCCCCGATGAGGCGGAAGCCGCGCCGCTCCGAGGGCCTCGATGTTTTCATCACGGCGCTTGGCCGGCCGATGAGCCAAGGAGTTCGGCGAAGGAGTTCCTCCTCCTCCTCCTCCTCCTCCCCCATCCTCCCCTTCTCCTCCTCCTTCTCCTCCTCCTCCTCCTCCTCCTCCTCCTCCTCCCCCATCCTCCCCCTTCTCCTCCTCCTCCTCCTCCTCCTCCTCCTCCTCCTCCTCCTCCTTCTCCTCCTCCTCCTCCTCCTGCTCCTCCTCGGTGGATCGACGCTCCGGCGCCCTGCCGGTGGGGCAGCTGAGGCACCTATACGCGCCGAGCCGGTTGGCCGACCACACGACGTCGTGTGTATACCAAGGCAGCCAAGGCTTTTTGTTTTTGGTGTGGGGTCCCCAGATCGACTAGACGTAAGAGTGGCCTTTCGCCGGAGTGACCTTCGGTGCGGGCACAGTGGGGTTCCCCGATCGCCGAACGCGATGCGATGGTGGCGCCTGGCGCGCCTGTGTTTGGCCCCCCCGCGGCCCCCCAAAAGCCGCGCACCAAAGGTCACTCTTATCCCGGGTCACTCCTGCGTGTAGCCGACCGTGTGCCTCGGGCCGGTTTGCCATCCCGAGTTGTTTGTTTGCTGTCCTGGGCCCGTCGAGCTCCAGAGACAGCAACTCATCAGAGCTTCCTTCGACGTGAACCGGCTTATGTCTGGTGAGGTCCAGGTATAAACATATGTTTCCTTAGGGGAACAAGAAGTAACATAAACATAAAAACTCGGAGGTCCGCGCGGATTTCTCGGATTGGCGCTGGACCCCCCCCCCCCTGGCGCGCGGAGCGCGCCAGGGGCGGCGCCGGAGGCGCCGCCGGGGGGCCCCAGCGCCGATCCGAGAAATCCGCGCGGACCTCCGAGCTGTTATGTTTATGACACTTTTTGTTCCCCTATTCCTGGTTGATACGATGCAGACGCGAGCTCGTCTGGCGAGGAGGGACGATAGGGGAGGGAGCCGATCGGGGCTCGATACCTCACCCCGCCCAGGACCGTGCGGGTTTGCTATTGGGGCCTGTCGCCGACCTATCAGTGATGCATCGCCGATCCCATGTCGACCTATACCCCCATGAGCTGGACCCCTCTTGTCATTCTCCCTTACCAGACATGCTCGCGTCGTGAACAAAAAAACATGACGCGGTGCGTTTGGCAGTTCTCGGCCTCCGGGGGCTCGCCTGACCCCCAGGCAGTGATAGAAACGACTCGGACGGCAAAGCGGCCGTGGAAGCATGGCAAGACTTAATGGAGACCCTGTGAGATGTCCAGGTGTCAGATTTCTGGGAAGACGGCAAAGCGGCCCTGGAAAAGTGGCGGGACTTTTGTCCTCCTCCTCCTCCTCCTCCTCCTCCTCCTCCTCCTCCTCCTCCTTCGGATTTCTGGGAAGGCTTGCCAGGGGCCCTCTTGGCTCTCCGGTGGCGCCGCCGGCCCCGGCACAAGGACCAGCTAATTGGCGCGGCGCTGGGACGGATGCTGGGCTTGTTTTCCACCACCACCACCACCATAAGCCTCCTCCTCCTCCTCCTCCTCCTCCTCCTCCTCCTCCTCCTCCTCCTCCCCCCCCCCCTCCAACTTATGGTGGTGGTGGTGGAAAACAGGCCCATCAACAGGTGCTGGTGTGCAGGGCTGGGCCCAAACGCTGCTCTTCTGGACTTCGGCTGCGCTTTGCTCTTCGTTTCGGCAGGGGTGTACAGGAAAGCAGGCAGAGCAAAGCGAAAACAACAACACGAACACAGCACGAAAGACAAGGTTTGGGTCCAGCCCTGGTGTCTCTTCCACGGGGCGCTCAATGCAGATCCTGCGCCAGTTGACTCGGACAACCTGCTGCCCTCCGCCTGGAGCGCCCGGTGGTAATCATCATGGCAGCTCGCGCCCCGTGCTATCATTCGACGGGTACTCTGCTACCTTTCCAGAGGACGAAACGTGCGTGGACACTGTAGCAAGTCCGGGGGCCGGGGGATCTCCCAGATGGCCCCCTCTTCGTCTTTCGCTTCAACATGCGCCCACTGGTTCCCCCTTGCCCGATCCCCTCCTCAGCCCAAGGCCCGAGAGCCTCTGGAGCCCCTCTTGCCGCTGCTCCCCGTCTGCAGCAGCAGCAGCAGCAGCAGACGCAGGCCCCCGATATCGCGGCGAAACAAGAGCTGATTGATGTTTCATCTGACCCTTCCTACCCGCGGCGCGCCGGCGCCGGCTTTCCCCCGTGCGTGCGGGCGACGCGGCGTGCCGCGCAGCAGGAGCAGCAGCAGCAGCAGCAGCAGCAGCAGCAGCAGCAGCAGCAGCAGCAGCAGCAGCAGCAGCCACTGGGCGGCGGCGGTGCCGGGGCGATTCGGCGCGGGTCGACTCGGCGGCCACGGCGGCGGCGGCGGCGTGTGCGGCCCGGCGCGGGGCCGCTGGGCAGCTCCCGCCTCCGAGGGCGATCGGAGGGCCCCAGCGGCGCGCGCGCGCGCCCGGGAGGCAGCTGGCGGCCGTGTTGCGCTGCGCGCGCGAGAGAGGACGGGGGCGGGCCGCCCTGCCTCTGGAGGGGCGGGGGGGAGGAGGGAGGGGGGAGGCACGTGAGGGGAGGGGGAGAGGGGAGGAGGGAGGAAGGAGGAGATGCTCAGCAGCGCTACGCCTGCGCACCGTGCACTGCGCACCTGGTAGACAACATGCTGCGAGTTCGGCGGCAGTTTGTCTGCCCAGTTACGTCGTCTCCGCGACCATGCAGTCGAGCTCGCCCGCCAGCACGCACTCGACGAGCTCAGTAGGGCAATGGCAGCGGCCGGGGGGGACGACGCGGAACGGGCGGCCCGAGCCAAGAAAAAGTATAGCCACAGATTATACACATTGATGCCAGGCCGCAATGTGCCAATAAAGTCCGTCCAGAAGAATTATGGGGATTTCACCGCCGAGACCGAAGATATGGCAGCCACCCTCGGGTCCCACTGGAACGACGTATGTATTTCGAGCCAGAGGGGTGGACGAGCAGCTTCTTCCGACGTGGTTGGAGGAGGACCAGTCCTGCCGAGAGACGCCCGCCACTGAGCGCGCATCCGACGCACTTTCGCACGGTGCGGTGCGCAACTTGCGGGTCACAAAACGGCACGTTCGGAAGGCGTTCGCCGCGGCTGGCAGCAGCGCGCCAGAACCGGATGGCATCCCATATCGCGCTTGGATTCAGTTGGGGAGTCTCGCTGTGGACGTACTCCACGGGGCTCTTGTCGAGCTGGGCGGCGAGGGCGCAGAGAGACTTCTACAGCGCCGCATGCCGAGCTTCAGCGAGAGTCTGTTGCTTCTCGTGCCCAAGAAGGTGGCCGGCACCACGGAGGACGGCGAGGAGTATTTCCTGTCCGGGGGTGTCCGCCCTCTCAACGTAATAAATACGTGCAACAGGCTCCTGGCAATCGCGGTGCGGATTGCCTTGGGACCTGCATTGGCACCGCACGTGCCGTAGGATCTGAAGGGTTTCCTAGCGGGTCGCTCCATGATGTCCAACCTGCTGGACATAGTTAGACGAGGCAATGAGACTGGCAGCTGCTGAAGCGGAATGGGCCTACGCGATTTTCGTCGATTTCGCGGCGGGTTTCCCATCGATTGAACACGATTTCTTCCAGCAGTTCTTCCGGTCGTTTGGGTGGCCCGCTTGGTTGTGCGGCTTTATTCGCAGTCTCTACTGGAACAATCATTGCTTCCTCAACGTCGGAGGCGGCGGGCAGGAAGGCTTCGGAATCTTCGGGGGCACGAGGCAAGTTTGCCCGTTATCGCCCATGCTCTTTGCGGCGGCGTCGGACTTCTATTTCCGCAGGTTGAACCGACGCTTCCTTCGTGCCACGCTACGAGCGTGGGCAGATGACCTCGCGATGTTGTTGTCCGAGGGCATCCTACAGGAGAGGGGGCCTTCGAGCTGTGTTCGACGAGTTTGCTCGGACCTCACGTTTGGCTCTGTGCGTGCCGAAGACTGTGCTTCTGCCATTGGACCCGCAATATTTGGCAGTGGCCCGCTCCGACTTGACCCGCGCGGCCTCTGGTTTGGGCGGCGCGGAGGCGGCCGCGGCCGCCAGATATTTCGGCGTCTACGTGGGCCACGGAGATATGTGTATATGTGTATATCGGTGTAGATGTGTGTGTATATATATATGTGTATGTATATTTATATATATATATATATATATACATGTGTGGACGCTGGCCTAGTCCCCCCCTGCTGACATCGATGGTGGCTTTTTTCAACGAAAACGGGCGACGTTGGCCGAGATGTTTTTTTTTGCGGGGTTCCGCACCACCGGCCTGGGGTCTACCGCGGCGGCGGCAATCAGATTTTCTTTTGCGGGGCTGCGCGCCACGATAGCCTGTACACAAGGATTCCTATTGAAAGCCCCTACACAAGGGTTCTTTTTGAAAGCCTCTACAAAATGGTTCCTTTTGAAAGCCAATGTACAGGGATGCACATTGAAAACCTTTTACAACAATATTCCGATTGAAACCCTTTTATTAACTTACCCTGGCGAATGACCCAACCATATGCAGTTGCGAGTACCACAAGGCAAGTTGAACGAACGAGAGGGAACTTTCTATGGGGCCACGAAACGTGTGAGGCGTATGCCGACATGTGTGCGGTGGACGCCTACGAACGCAGCCACTAGGGCCTTCGGTGGAGTTCCCTGTGGGGCCACGAGACGTGCAAAAAGTGTGCCGACATTGGTGTTGCAGGCGCATTGAAACGCAGCCACTGGAGCCTTCGGTGGAGCTCCTTGTGGGGCCACGAAACGTGTGAGGGGTGTGCCGAAATGGGTGCGGTGGGCGCATGCGAGCGCAGCCACTGTGGCCTTCGGTGGAGCTCCCTATGGGGCCACGAAACGTGTGAGAGGCGTGCCGAAATGGGCGCGGTGGGCGCATGCGAACGCAGCCACTGGGGCCTTCGGTGGAGCTCCATGTGGGGCCACGAAACGTGTGAAGGGGTGTGCCGAAACTGGTGCGGTGGGCGCATGTGAACGCAGCCACTGGGGCCTTCGGTGGAGCTCCTTGTGGAGCCACGAAACGTGTGCGGCGTGTGCCGCAATGGGTGCGGTGGGCGCATGTGAACGCAGCCACTGGCCTTTGGTGGAGCTCCCTGTGGAGCCACGAAACGTGTGAGGGGTATGCCGACATGGGTGCGGTAGGCGCATGCGAACGTAGCCACTAGGGCATTCGGTGGAGCTCCTTATGGGGCCACGAAACATGTGAGGGTTGTGCCGAAATCAGTGCGGTGGGCGCATGTGAACGCAGCCACTGTGGCCTTCGGTGGAGCTCCCTTTGAGGCCACGAAGCGTGTGAGGGGTGTGCCAACATTGGTGCGGTGGGCGCATGTGAACGCAGCCACTGCGGCCTTCGGTGGAGCTCCCTATGGGGCCACGAACTTTGTGAGGGGTGTGCCGAAATGGGCGCGGTGGGCGCATGCGAACGCAGCCACTGGGGCCTTCGGTGGAGCTCCCTGTGGGGCCACGAAACGTGTGAGGGGTGTGCCGTGATAGTGGGAGGAGGGAGGAGGGAGGGGGAGGAGGCGGGGGAGGAGGAAGGAAGGAGAGGAGACGCGGGGCACCGTCTCTTCAAAACGAAGACCCAACACCACAGGATGCTTGGGAAAAAAGATTCCGATTGAAAATCACGGCAAAAGGATCCTTTAGAAAAACCATTTCCCATTGGACGCCAAAGCAACAGGATTTCTAGTGAAAGCTAATACAAAAGGATTCTTATTGCAAGCATTTACAAAATGATGCCGATTGAAAGCCAATACAAAAAGGATTCCCATTGAAAGCATATACACATTGATTCCTATTGAAAGCCGCTACAAAACAATTCGATGGGAAACCTCTTACACAAGGACCCCAATTGAAAACCAACGCGAGAGGATTCCAATTGAAAGCAGTTGCAAAAGGATGCCTATTGAAAGCTAGTGCTACATGATCCCTATTGACAGCATATACAAAAGGATTCCTAAAGAAAGTCACTACAAAAAAGGATTCCGATTGAAAGCCGCTACAAAAGGATTCGTATTGAAAGCCTCTACAGCCTACTTTTCCTCCTCCTCCTCTTCCTTTTCCTCCCCCTTTCCAGCGGAAGGCCATACCTCTTAGGAAAACCATGGACCATGAGGGAAACCAAACAGAACAAAGAAACTGAAGTGCTGGAGGCAGAAAACTTAGAAAAACACCAATGTACAAACCCAGCAAAAAAAGTTCCACAGAGACTGCGGGGTTTTCCTCTCGGGCTTATCCCTTCGAACGGCGTTTCCTGTTTTTTGTTGTTGTTTCCGATGGTGTACCTAAAGTTTTCGCTTTCAGCACTTCGTTTGTTTTTGCTTTTGTTTGTGTCCCCGGTTGCTTTCCCAAAGTTTATGGTGCTTCCCACCGCCAACATACGGGATGTATGTGTATCTCGCCCACGCGACGACGAGGACCACGAGGGCGAGGATGACGAGGAAGAGGACGAGGACACGAGAGAAAGAGAGAGAGAGAGAGAAAGAGCACAAGGGAACGCTCAACAGCAAAGCACAACAGCAAAGCACAACAACACCCCTAAACACATGAACCACAACCCTTAAATCGTCCTGAAGCGTTGTAGGTGGACGGAAGTCCGTCCTAAAAACAGATTTCGGTTTCAGCAGGGGGGAATCGGCCAGGACCCACA